TTCATTTATTCGTTTGCTGGAAATTAGAACTGAATTTTGAAATAGTTTTGAAACGAATATTTGCGCTTAACAAACTAAATTAATTATTTATAGGCTAATTGATGTCTGTGCATAAAGGTTTCCCTATCCAAGAGCGAATGTGAAAGTAGATCCATTATCTCTCATTCTCACGCAGTAGATGCTCTGTTGAACAGTTTTCTGTTAAAAAACTGTTAACTGTTAACTGTTTGCTTGTGAAATGCTCATTTTTTCCACTTAGACTTACTTTGCGTCCTGTAAATAGCGAATGCGCTCTTGGCGTGACGCAGCTGACTCTTAAAGGGAATGGGAGATGAGACTCTAATTGGTTTATTCTCAAAACACACCTATAACTCATTAAGAAAATAAACTCAACCCTTTTAGACCATGCGCCACGGCGCAAGGCAGATTTTCCCGTCCTTAAATTAGCAAAAACACGTCCTGACACGCCCTGATAGCGTTTGCGCCCTGCGTTTTGCGCTCTGCGCATGGACCGTCAAAATAGAGCCCTAAATGATGAGGTGATTTTAACTTTAAGGTCCCTTTAACTCTTTCCCCGGCATTGACGAGATGACTTGTAATATCTCTTCAAGTAAGAGACGATGCTTTCTTGTTATTGACGAGTTTTTACACCAATCTGTGTTTTAGGTATATTACAGTAAGGGAAGTTATAGAACTTTTGGGTGCAGAATAAAAGATGAACAGAGAAACTCAGGGTTCATACTGTTATGTTAAACCTGGAAATGACCCTACTGAGCTCAGTCCTCTGTTTTAGACCTGATCCATTGTGTTTCTTTCTTAGGTGGATTTGATTTGGTGGAGTGTAAGGAAGGAAAGAGCGTGTGTGTGTCGTTTCACACTGCCTACGAAGGTGTGTATCTGGACACGTATAACATGGAGCTGGACCTGATGCGCACCGTCCAGATCTCTCGCCATAACATCCCCCCGTCGTTCCCTCTGGAGGTTTTAGCCAAGCAGAGCCTGCAGAAAGACCTCAAAGTTTTCCTGCAAACCGTCAGTCAGAACCTCAACGCTTTGGCTGCTCGCAGACAGCAGGTCACACTCGTCAAGGTATCAGGATTGCTGCGTTTAATATTATCTGTTTATTTTATAAGTGTTTGGGGTCGGTAAGATTTTTCAGTTTTTCTGATAAAGTATGCTTCTTAAGGTTGCATATATACAGTTAAAGTCAGAATTATAAGCCCTCCTGTTTATTTTTTCCCCAATTTCTGTTTAACGGAGAGATGTTTTTTTTTAACACATTTCTAAACGTAATAGTTTTAATAGCTCATTTCTATTAACTGATTTCTTTTTTGTCTTTGCCATGATGACAGCACATAATATTTGACTAGATATTTTTCAAGACACTTCTATACAGCTTAAAGTGACATTTAAAGGCTTAACTAGGTTAATTAGGCAAGTTAGGGTAATTAGGCAAGTCATTAGCCCCTTTCACACATACAGACCTTTCCGGAAAATTGCCCGCAAGGTTGTATGTGTGAACAGGTCCTTTTTGAAAATACCGGTAAATTCGTTCTGGCTATTTTCCTGAAAGAGAAGTTGTAACATTACCGGCAATTTGCCGGAATGCTGCGCTGTGTGAATGCAGAAGGAAGATTCCCGTAATAAGCGCGTGCACGTCTAGAACGTGCTGACGTGAGACGTCTGCTTTAGCCAATCACAACAGTCAGACGCATTTACGTCCGCGCGGTTTGTGAGAATAAAAACCTTTGAATATTTTTCCAGACACATTTAGCTGCTAGAAGTTAGTCAGATCACGTTTATATGTTCTTCTTAATGCCAACTGTGTAAATAATCATCGATGAGATGCTTATGATAAGCCGTTGTTTGTTTACCTTCAAGCTTTGCGTGTGCCAGTGAAACAGCCTGTGAGCGCCTGCACACGCACATATTATGAACATCTCGACATGCGAAAGTGATCCTGCGAAAGTTGTTCACAATATTGATCATCCACAGAGTTTGTAATTTAGTCAAATGTTTACAAATACAAGCGCAGCCGTTTAAAGCTCATTTGTGGTGAATGATGTCAGAATTTACCTGTATTTTGGAATGGATGTGTGAATGCTCTTTTACGGAAAATTTCCGTAACGTCCTCGCCTGTGTGAACAGCGCTTTTTTGAATATACCGGTAAAGTCGTTCCGGAAATTTTCCAGATATTTACCGGTATCACTGTGAAAGGGGCTTATATAGTATAATACTCAATAATTGTATAAACTTCAATTTATTTCTAGAACACTTTCAACAAACCACAATGGGTACCCAAGTGCTGTACATAAAACCACATGCAAAAGTACATAAACTCACAACACATGATTTAAAGCTATGGAAAATAAGTGTGTTTTCAGTGACCTCTGAAGACTCAATAGTTGGAGCTGTTCTTAAGGAGAGTGGAAGATCATTCCAAAGTCTTGGAGCTGCTACTGAAAAAACTATCACCTCGATATTTCAAATAAAGATCTCACGGGTTGATGTATATTAATTATCTCAGAAATGTACTCAGGGGCCAGGCCATGGAGGGATTTAAAAACATGCAACAGTACTTTACTGAATTCTAAACTGGATTGGCAGCCAGTGTAGAGAAACCAGTACAGGTGTGATGTGCTCTCCTTTTTTGTGCCTGTTAAAAGCCTGGCAGCTTGTCTGATAATATTTTTTCTTCTGGGGAAAGTCTTAGTTGTTTTATTTCGGCCAGAACAAAATCAGTTTTTAATTTTTTTTAGTTAATTTTTTATTTTTTAAGTTAGCTTTTTTAGCTAACTTAATTAACCTAGTTAAGCCTTTAAATGTCACTTTAAGCTGTATAGAAGTGTCTTGAAGAATATCTAGTCAAATATTATTTACTGTCATCATGACAAAGATAAAATAAATCAGTTATTAGAAATAAGTTATTAAAACTATTATGTTTACAAATGTGTTGGAAAAAAAATCTGCAATCTCTCCATTAAACAGGAATTGGGGAAAAATAAACAGGGGCTAACAATTCTGACTCCAACTGTATATTTGTATACGTGTTATTAGTGAAATATTGATTTGTTGGATTTAGTTATAGTGTTTTGGCGTAAACATGTATTTTGAAGCTTGTGTTTAACTATGTATTCTTTAATTTTGTTTTATATTTTCATGGTGACTATTTTAGCATCAGTCCAGATGCAGATTGCCTTTTGGCTAATTCTCTCACAGTGAATATTTCTGTATTATTAATGTGCACTTTCTGTCAAATAAAACCGAATGGTAAAACTGAACTGATGTGATCAGACCTTAATAGAATAATTCAAATATTTACATTTTTACGTAAACCAAACCCTTACTTCAGGGCTGCCCAAACTCAGTTTTGGAGGGCCGGAGTCCTGCATATTTTAGTTCCAACTCCAATTAAACACAACAAAACCAGCTAATCAAGCTCTTTCTAGGCATACTAGAAAGCTCCAGGCAGGTGTGCTGGAGGAAGTTGAAGCTAAACTATGCAGGACACCGGCCCTCCAGGACTAAGTTTGGACACCCCTGTCTTACTTAAACCAAACCCAAAGAAACAGAATTATCAACTAGTCTCCTAAGTTGTTTTTTTAGCTGTATATTTTGTGACATGGTAAATATCTTTAATATTTATCAACATTATGTCAAAATGCATTGTCTTTTCCGCAGGATCTTGTTGGTTCGGTGGAGGTGATGGAGAGCAATGAGCTGTGCAATATTCTGGTGCTCATGTGTTCAGCACAAAGCGAGCCCCCCAGAGCTGTTTTATGCACGCTGGAGTATAAAGATCTCACACAGAGTCTCCCAACACACGTCAGCATTGAGAGTGAAGGTACAATCCAATACCAAGAGAAACTGAACTACAAGTGTGAACAAACCATGTTGCTGTTATTGACATGACATTTATTTTAGAGTAAATGTAAGGATCTTTACTTGATGAAGGTGATGCACAGTTTAATCTAAAGCATGTATTTTATTATGAGACCGGAAAAGGAAATGGAGGCGTTCATTTTGTATCATATGCTTGCTTTTTTTGTAGATAAAACACTTTCTGGATCTGCACAGTGGAAGACAAACCAGGCTCTACTCCTGGAGTCTCCGGCTCACACGGCTCTCCTGACCATGAAGAGGATGGGAAGCATCGTCTAAGAAACAGGAGGAAATTAATAACTTTATTGAACATGTAAAGCATTTCCTGGAAACTCTTTCAGTGGGCTTAAACAGTTAAACGCTTTTATATTCAGAGGCAGATATACTAAAATGAAGATTTTATATAAAGACCCAAAAAATGTAAAAAAAAATACTTCATTTACTCACCCTTTGCTGCTACTTTTTGTTGATGAGCATAAATATTTTGGAACCCATTGGCTTCTATAGTGTTTTTTTCTACTGTGGATGTCAATCAGTTTCCTTCAGTTTCTCAATTTGTCTTTAACAGAAAAATGAAACTCCTAAAGGTTTTTAAATCAATTGAGAACAGTGTCACGAAATAAATTAAAAATCCTTAATCAAAAAGAGGTTTAACCAAAACGTAACAAGATAACAGGGATTAAAAATATAATCCCTGGTGCCCCTCGCAAGCCAAACAGGGAGACAGAAAACCTAGTTTCTCACATTTATCACTCAAGCAATAATATCTCCACAAGAAAAATAAGTGGGGAATCGAGAGAGAGTGGGGAGCCACTGAATCCATGTTCTCAGGTTTTAAATACAGCCGCCGCCAATCCAAGCGCCAATCATGATTCGACGTAATCCGCTGCACCTACAAATAATTCAAAATGAGAGAGAGCAAGAGAAAGAGAGAAAGAAAGAAAGAAACACCATACACCACACCACAACAACCACTACTCGTAACAGCAGTGTTGGGGTAGAGTGACTTTTTAACCCATTTGTGCCCAAATTTTTAAAAATGGTTTCATGCATGTTGCCTTGTTAATAGTGTCCTATATGAACATGTTTTGCATTCATTTTCTCCAGGTTTTTTTAATTTATTAATTTATTAATTTTTTTTTTCAGGAAAATGCGGCAACTATAGTTGCCGGTGTAAAAACCCTTCAATGTAAAATTTGAACAGGAGGAGAACATTTGGCATTCTTACTAAAAACAGTTGCTTTCAAAAGATCAATGCATATTCATAAACACATTTTTATGATTAAAATTAGAAAACCATTTGATTTGAACCCCCCTAAAATTATTTAGCATATGAGGTAATGAATATGAAAACACAAAGAACTAATCCATTTGTCTTAAAATTATTAAACACACTAGTTTCCCTAACAGACTAGTGTGTGTCATAAAGATAAATGAAAAAGTGTAAAGTTGAAAAAGTTTGTCTTTAACTAAAGTTTAAATATTAGCTAAAGACAATTATTATAATTAATGCAATAATAAATTATAATTATGAATTAATACAAATATTAATATATAAAAAATAATTCAATAGATTTAATCTTATTCCCTACACAGCAAAATCCCAAGAGTAGAGATTATTTGGTCACACACTATAGAGTTACAGCAGTTCAAGAAAAAAATTGCATTAAGTAAAGTAAATACTAGTGTAAATAAACAAAAATAAATATGTAGTGGCAACGTAAATACATGCCACAAAGGCATCATCTAACAAAGCATAATTTTTTTCATTAAATCTCAAAACAGACTTTTGTAGACGTTTGACAGAAATAGTCTGGCAGCTTAGTAAAAAGTAAAGCTGCTGATTCTGTTTGTGCAGTTGTTTAATGATCCCGATGAGCTGAGATTCATTGAGTTTTCACTTGAGTTCCTAATGCCATGTCCACAGGTACACAGGAATTTTTGTAAACAAAAACTTTTTTCTCAATTTTCTAAAAAGCACACACCTTGGCGCTTTTGAAAATCTTTGAAAGTGGAAAAAAGCTGCAATTTAGACAAAACCCATGTTTGTGTGAATAACAGGGCCTAAGGTTGTGACTGAATTCGGATGTAATTTTATGTTTTTCTTTAGTAGTTCTGCTTTTTAACAGCAGGAGTTCATTAATCTCGCTTCAATCAGAACTTTAACTCTGCTCCAGTGTTATTATGTAGGAGTAGGACCAGTGGGAGATGTTAATTTTACTCTGAGGATTTTTCTATGTATCAAAAAGTCTACTTTAAAGTATGCGACACAACTGACTCTTAAAGGTAATGGGAGATGAGAGATTGATTTAATGCACGTTATGCTCAAAACACACTCATAACTCATTAAGAGAACAAGCACAACCCTGTCAGAGTGGATGTTTCTGTGCTTAAAATAGAAGTTGATTCGGACATGTTCCTATTGCTTTTGTGCCATGCGCTTTAGACTTTGCTCCTAGGTCGATAAATTAGAGCCCTATGTGTCCTTGTCAAATAAAAGAGCAGACAAAAGGCAAAAATAACATACTTAAACATTACTTTCACTAAAAATTAACTAAGTAACATTTAGTTACTTTTTTTTTATAGTGACTTGCGATTGTAATGTATTACTTTTTTAAAGTAACACCGCTTGAGAGTGAGTAAACGTTACACTAAATGTTAATTTCTAGCTGAACTATTTCTTCAACAGGATTGTTTTATAATTAACATTCAAATATGTTCAATGGAGTTGAGGAAACTGCTTATTTTCTGCCTCAGTTTCTCTCTCTGCAGTTGTTTGAGTCTTTCTTTATACCACCTGTAATACTCCTCCTGATACATCAGCTCTTTCTCAGAGATGCTGTCGATCAGCGACAAGTCTTTCAGATGTAAAATAGAGAGCTGACCACTTTCTGAAGCTTTAAATTTCTGTCTGGACGTCATAGATGGAAAGGAATCGTCTTGTTTGACAGAAAGCGATGCTGATTTTGCAGTCCTCTCTTCGGCATTATTCTCAAATGCAGATGATAGAGCTCTGAAAGCTGGGGCGGATTTTGAAAACCGTGTTTGTTTTGCGCCGCTTGCCGTTCTAACCTCTGATATGGCCCTCATTGTGTTGTTTATGGTGGCGCGTGGTTCACAAACCCTTAAGTTGAGCAGGCGTTTGTGCTCCTTTAACACCAGTTCTCGCTCCTGCTCCAGGAGTCTGAGGTTGAGTCTGTATTTAGCGCTGATGTTGTGTAGTTTCCTCTGAAGATGGACGTCCTCTTTATGATTCAGCTGTCTGACGTCCTTGTGAAGGAAAGACTTTGGTCTTTTGATTATAAGTGGCATTGTCATTTTTAGTTTCCTTTGAAACAAATTAAGGGAACGGACAACCAGATTTTAGTTAAACATTCAAATGCAGATTAAATTAAAATTTTATTACAAGCACACATGCATACAGAGTTAAAGGCAAAATTATAAGCCCTTTGGTGAAGTTTTAATGATTTTTGCAGGTATTAAGTGGCGTTTAACAGAAATGATCACCATATTTCCTATAATATTTTTTCTTCTGGAAAAAGTCCTGGTTCTTTTAGTGTTTTTGCTGCAATAAATATTTTTTAAAACAATTTTAAGGTCAATATTATTAGCCCCCTTCATAATTGTTAAAAGCTATAGTTACCAGTTAATTAGTTAAAGTTTATTGGTAACTAAGTGATGTTTTATAAACAAGTTTTGAGAGGAGCACGATCAGTTTTTGACGAGGCTAATTCATCACACACACAATCATTTTATTATCCAATTAGCTCGAGAGCAAACCCCTATAAATAGTCAAACTTGTCATACCTCCGTTTCTCTCGACTTCAGCATCTCTTCACCACCCCAACTCCACACTATTAAACCAGATACCTATTTAAATCTGGGGGGAGCGTTCTGGAGCCGGGCTAGACACTGCGCTCGGACCCTATCTCTCTTTATCCTGATAAGGGGAATAACACGAGTTAGGGTGTCTTCCCGAGCTTAGAGCCCTCTCCCCTGACAGCACACCAAATACGCATATTCTATCCAGTCAAATAGTGTGTGAACTCGTGAATAAAGTTATGGTAACTAATTATAGACCCACACGGAATCTGCACGTGCAGATTTCCGCAGATTTTAGCCTGTCACTGAGTCTATTTATTTACATGTGTAAATGTGTGTGAATTTATATTAATTTAGTTTTTTTAATTCATTTTAGTCTAATTATTGAATAATATGAAAATGTTCATTTGATTTATTTACAACACAGTTTGTGAAGTCATATTTTCTGTCTTTTAGTATATATATTATATGTATAAGATATATAGATATAGACTTATAGCTATATAAGAGACTTGCTTTGTTTACCAAATAACTGGATCGAACTGGATTTGCATTGTAAACATTAAATAAAAGTTAAAAAGGTATTATTTTTCATTTTATAAATTAAGTTTTTAGTCATGATACTCCCAAAATCATTCCACATAAATGTTATCAGTCTGCAAAAATAGAAATAGCAAATGATGTCTGCAGATTCTGTCTGGCCCTACTAATAACCCTACTAATGTCTTGGCTAAACATTTAGATGCAGATTTAATGTCAAGGATTTTTACAAGCACACATGCATACATGGTAAGACTTTATTTTGATGGTGCCTATTGCACATTTTGTTGACTAAAAGTTGCATTGCAACTACATGGCAATTACTTCTCGTTTGAGTATTAGTAGACTGTCAGCTTAATATCTGCTAATACTGCTCCTTCAACAGACATTCAGCTGACTATAAGAAACTTTGCAAGTACATGTCAACTTACTCTAACCCAGGGGTGGGCAATCTCGGTCCTAGAGGGCCGGTGTCCTGCACAGTTTAGCTCCAACCCTATTCAAACAGACCTCCCTATAGAGTTCAAGTGAGCTTGAAGACACTGATTAGTTTGTTCAGGTGTGTTTGACTAATGTAAACTCTGCAGGGACACCGGCCCTCGAGGATCCCATCCCTGCTCTAACCCAAACCCAACCTATACTTGTATTCTAAAGATAATTAGTTGGCATGTACAGTAGATGCAATGTAACTTAAATTCAACAAAATGCGTTAAAGGGACTATCAAAATAAAGTGATACTGCATACACAGTTGAAGGCAAAATTATTAGAAATTTTAATACTTTTTCGAATATTTTCAAAGTGATGTTTAACAGAAATGATCACCCTATTTTCTATAATATTTTTCTTGTGGAGAAAGTCTTGGTTCTTTTAGTTTGACAGGAATAAAAGCATTTTTTGTTTAAATAAAACAAATTTAAGGTCGATATTATTAGCCCTTTTCATTTTTTTCATAAAGTTATTTCTTGATTTGCACAAGAATACAAAATTATTGGAGTAAAACTGAAAGCTTAAGCCATAATGTGCAGGAAGAGGCAAAAGCTCAAAAGGCTTATTTAGAGCCTCTACTTCAGGGATGTCCAAAGTCGGTCCTGGAGGGCCGGTGTCCTGTATATTTTAGCTCCAACTTGCCTCAACACACCTGCAAGGATGTTTCTAGAAAGCCTAGTAAGAGCTTGATTAACTGATAACTGGCTCAGGTGTGTCTGATTGGGGTTGGAACTAAACCTTGCAGGACACCGGCCCTCCAGGACTGAGTTTGGACATGCCTGCTCTACTTAAATAATAAGCATAATAAAAAGAAAATGACTGAACAAGTGCATGACATCACATGCTACAAGTGAATAATGAATACACACAAAGGAAATTCACATACACAACAATAAAATAAAATCACACAATAGAATTATTACAAAGTTGCAGAACAACATTAAAGTGATTCCTTATGCAGTTTTCATTGTCTACAGAACAAATTATTATCCAGCGACTTGCCTAATTATCCAAACTTGTGTAGTTAACCTAATTAACCTAGTTAAGTCTCTAAATGGCACTGTAAGTATCTTGCAAAATATCTAGTAAAATGTACTGTCAACATGGCAAAGACAAGAAAAAATAGTAATTAATAATTAGTCATTAAATCTATTATGTTAAGGTTTCTCTGGTAAATTAAAAGTTTAAATTAGTTAAAGTGTTGAAAAATATCTTCTCTGTTAGACAGCCCTTGAAAATAATAATAATAATTTAATTAAATTATTTTAATTATAATAATAATAAAAAAAGCTTGGCTAATAATTTTGCATTCAACTTTACACAGTGGTCCAAATATCTGTAAGCTTGAATATGTTGACGTTTTGTGTAAATAATGAATGTAAATTTACTGTACCTGGTTTCTCGTCCTGTATACGAGCCTGTAGATTTAAGAACTGCTGCTATGACACTTAAACATACAGTATAAACAATGTCTTTGGTTCTGTCAGGTTTTAGGTGTTGAGTTTCAAAGCCCTTGGCTCACGCAATCACTATTGTGTTGATAATGGCAAAGCAAAAGCGGGAAGATTGAGCTTTTTAAGCAACTTATTTGTGACTTCCAAAGTGTCAGAAACATTTTTTTTATACATTTTGTTTTGCTTTATGCACTTTAAAATGCAGCAGTACACATCTCTCTCTTTCCCTCTAAACATAGGAATACTGTATGTTTCTTGTCTTCATTAAGGAACATTTTATATTGGATTTCAGTATAATATCACTGTGATTTACAGCAGACTGGAGATTTGAAGTCCCACATAAAAAATACTATAGTAATTTATAATAAATACCAGTGTTTTTGATCCATACTATTGTAGAGTGTATTATACAGTAAATGTAATAGTCGGTGTGCAAATTCCACTATAATTTTTTATTTTGGTAGTAGTTTAGTAATACATTCTTCAGCTAATCAAATTTATGAATGTATTTAAATTGCATCTTAATTCTTTATAAAATGTATACATTTTCAGTGTGTTGAAGGATAATAAGTGACTATTTTAGAGGCTACTGTAGGTCAAACTACAAATTATGTTTCAGATTTTTATTTTTTTAGGCTATACATGCAGATATAAACACCTATTTTACAAGAAACGTGTTTTGTGAACACTTAAGATGTCTATTGGTGCTCTAGAACTGCCAGTAGTTTCAGACTGTTGAATCATATTTTTCCTTGCATTGATTGGCGTGTTATGCATTCACAATGGTATAAACTGTTATTCTACATCTTTAATTATTCTACATCTTTAATTATTAATATTTAAGATATAGATCAGACGGAGATCAGAAAAAGCTATTTCTTACTATTAGAGGGCTGACCCATATTGTTTTGATGTCCTTCAGGGTAGGATCAAGCGTTAATTAGGGGGTCTGTCCCCTGCAAACCCCCCTGTAATTCGCTCCCTGGTTAAAGTAAGACTTTGTTAATGAATGCTGTAGCATACTGTTATGTGAACTACTAAATAGGCTTACTAATATAAATAGTATTAGTTTTTACTACAGTAAACTGGTGTATTTCCTGCTGAAAAATCTAGCTTTATCCAGGCTGGCTGGTTTTAGCTGGTCGACCAGCTTGGTTTTAGAGGGGTTTTGACCACTTCCTGGTTTTAGCTGGACAGGATGGGAGATGACCAGCTAAAACCAGCTTGACCAGCCTAGCCAGGCTGGGAGCCCAGCTAAAACCAGCTATGTCCAGCTTAAACCAGGATGGTCAAGCTGGTTTTAGATAGTTTTAGCTGGTCACTTTCCAGACTGACCAGTTAAGACCAGGCTGGAAATGGCTGGAAACCAGCCTGGAAGTGGCCAAAACACCTCTAAAACCAGGCTGATCGACCAGCTAAAACCAGCCAACCATCCTAGGCTGGTTTAAGCTGGATTTTTCAGCAGGGTTGTAGTATAATATAATCTATAGTCGTAGATAGAGTATTCTGTATTATTCTTACTATTACAATAGTTGGTTTTCCAACTATCAAGTTACAGTACCACAACAACTACTATAGAATGGTTCAAAAGTAGGCTTACTGTAGTATTTACTATAAATTACGATAATATTTGACATATATAGTTTTTTTCCATATAAGGTGTAATCAATTATTTAATATATTTAATTATTAAAAATCAAACAAAAAGTGTTCAGGGGTAGCTTAAATAATGTGTCAGTGCTATTTGGGTAAGAGATTCATCAGAATAAACAGCAAAAATCAGTCCAAGGCACTAAAAAAAAGTTTTGGTTTGATTTTTGCAGTTTATATTTAATTGTAATTCTGATAAATTTGGCAACCTTAGCATACATAATTAGCAAACTGTACCTCTGATCTTCGATCATTATTTGTTTATAACCTTTAACGTATCCTTAAAATGCTTGAACTAAAGTTATTGCAGTAATTCAACAGTGATAATCGTAAAACTCAATGGGTTCTCATTGAGGCTGTGTGTGTGGAAACATTGTTTTGTTATTTTAAAATTAGCTTGCTGTTGGAGCTAACGTTATTGTGTTTGGCGAAAACTGACTGACGCGCTTTTATATAAATGGGAGGTGCTGTATGTGTCTTCATTTCTAGTATATGTTCTGACTACAGTTAATGTTCAGCTCTGACACGTGAGAGAAGACAGACGTCCAGTCAAACTACATCAAAACAATATCAAACGTCGAATTACTGAGGTAAGTTTGTCGATGTTTTCTTAAACGTTGAATGTAAAGCTCGTCAATATGAAGTTTGAGTGTTTTAAAAGTAGTTTTAATGTTCTGTAATCAGACAATGTATCCCAGATAGCAAAATACACTCGGGCCAGTTCCGGCTAGATTGTCGCCTGCCGAAGACTTACCCCTCGGCCCAACTTCGGCTGCCGGACTCGGGCCGGATGCCTGTGGACTCACTGCCCGATTCCGGCCCGAATCAAGCGGGCCAGATGCGGCGGCCGTAAGCGAGCCGACGCTGCGCATCCGCGCCGAAATCGGCGCGAGGGTAATGTGCGCTGCGGCCCGGAGCTGGCGCGACTCCGTATTTATACACCTTATAAAACCTTTTGGTATTACATTGGTACTTGATATATGGTATTACAACCATTTGAATTTATATAACAGCAAACACAGACTATAATGTAAACACAAAGTGTAAGCACTGCGTTTAACCTTTGAATAAAGTGCAAACTGCATACATATTCTGTAACGGAAAAAATCAGACAAATGACAAAATAAATAAATGTTAAACGTTTATTGATTGCAAGAAAAAAATAGTACTAAAATTTTATAAATAATTTTGTAGTGCACCATAATGATAAATTTAAAAACAACAATAAAACAACACAAAGACACACAGAAAGATTTAAACAAAAAATCTAAAAATTACACACAAACACAGATGTTTTTAAAACAACCCTGTTTTCCCAATAGACTTGAATTAAAAATTTGTAAAAAACAGCTAAATTTTATATAAACCTAAATATAGAAACCAATTTAAGATATAGCAAGAAACATCTTAAAAATACCAATGACAATCCGTAAAATATACAAGTCAAACTTGTAAAAAGTACTGCAGAATTCTGAAGAAACATCTTGAAACATTTTTTAATAAAACATTAAAATAATAATAAACAAACAAATATATATATATATATATATATAATTCCAGAAGTATAAAGTCAAACTTATTTTTAAATAAACTTGAACAAAATCAATTGCACAAACAGCAATTTTCTTTCAACACGTCTTGTGCAATTTTATATTTACAATTGTATTTGTATTACGTTTATTAAAAATGTATCAAGATGTTTCTTCAGAATTTGGCGCACACACACACATACATACATACATACCATACCATACATATATACACACACACACACACACACACACACACACACACACACACACACATATATATATACATATATACATACATATACATATATATATATATATATATATATATATATATATATATATATATATATATATATATATATATATATATATATATATATATATATATACATATATATATACATATATATATATATATATATATATATATATAAATGCAAATGAAAGAAACAAATTGTTCAAGTATCAGGGAACATCCTAATACACTTAAAATGTTGTTTAAAAAATAAAACAAAATAGTGATGTAGACATTTGACACATTAGCTTTCTCTTCTTTCTTCCTCCATCCCTGTCAGGGGCAAGTTGTAGCTACCTTGTAATGCATTTTTCCACTTCTTTATCAGTGGCGTGGTATGGACATTTGTCCTCACTCCATCTGTGATTAAAAGATAAACAGATAATTAGTAGTGAACAAGTACTAATGTAAAAAAAAAAGAAAAAATTAGGAAAAAAGTAGGCTGCCTACGAAGCAAAAAAAAAAACAATAAAAAAAAAACAAATAAACTTAAAACACTTTGAAATTAGCAAGAGCTTGAACTTACCAGTTTCTTCATTTGTTCAGGCTGCTCCTTTAATTGATTTTCAAGCTTTTCCAAATCAAATTGGCCAAAGGAAGGTCAAATGTGTTTACATCTGGAATTTCATCACGTCTGTTTTGGTTTTGTGAGAATCAGGCCCAGCTGCTGCTTTATGACGTTGCATGATTTTAAAACTTCAGTCAGTCGTGCTAAAAAAGAAAAATAACAGATTAGTATAAATCAACCTGTAGCTTATTCTCATACAACTTCTGTAAATACAACAGTGGGTTAGACACTGCTGATATTCTCTAGTTGATCTTTACTTTCTAGCTGCATTAAACCTTAACAAATTTAGTGATGTCTTCAATTCTTACAAAGACATCACGAGATGCAATAAGTTCTGTCTTGATCTCAAACTGCACTAGAACAAAGACTGTAAATGTTCATAGGTGTACTGCAGGAGTGTCCAAACTTTTTGGGCCGAGGGCCAGATGAAAAAAAACAAACGTTGTCGCGGGCCAAATTTTACATACATCACACAGACACGTGTGTGTGTGTGTGTGTGTGTGTGTGTATATATATATATATATATATATATATATATATATATATATATATGTATATATATATATATATATATATATATATATATATATATATATATATATATATGTATATATGTATATATGTATATATATATATATATATATATATATATATATATATATATATATATAAATACAGTTGAAGTCAGAATTGTTAGCCCCCCTAAATTACTAGCCACCGTTTATTTTTTCCCCAATTTCTGTTTAACGGAGAGTTAAACATTTTTTTCCACACATTTCTAAACATATTAGTTTTAGTAACTCATTTCTAATAACTGATTTATTTTATCTTTGCCATGATGACAGTAAATAATATTTGACTAGATATTTTTAAGACACTTCTATACAGCTTAAAGTGACATTTAAAGGCTTAACTAGGTTAATCAAGTTAACTAGTCAAGTTAAGGTAATTAGGCAAGTTATTTTATAACAATGGTTTGTTCTGAAGACTTAAGGGGCTAATAATTTTGACCTTAAAATGGTTCATAAAAAAATTTAAACCGCTTTTTATTCTAGCCGAAATAAAACATAAGTCTTTCTCCAAAAGAAAAAATATTATCAGACATACTGTAAAAATGTTCTTGCTTTGTTAAACATTATTTGGGAAATATTTAAAAAAGAAAAATAAATCAATGAGGGGCTAATAATTCAGACTTCAACTGTGTGTAGATAGATAGACAGACAGACAGACAGACAGACAGATAGATAGATAGATTTATAGATCATAACAAGAACTGCTGCTTAATTGAATGCATGTAATAGCGACACCCGGTGGTTATTTATTGAATTACGTTCATTTTTGTATAGCGGGCCAGATTCTATTGATATTTATAAAAAGCCTCACCGCGGGCCGTAGTTTGGACACGCCTGGTGTACTGGAATGTACAGTATCTGTGCATCTTGATGGTGGTCTTAAGATTTCTGCCATAGTCATTGATGGTGATGGTACTTGTGGTGCTGCATTGATTTCTGAAATCTTCATACCTGCCTTTTATCCAGCCTCTTTGTTCCAAGTAATTTTTCTTCATCACGGTATAGATGTGTCTATATTGTCCCTTAATCAGATACATTTACAAAACAAAACATCACTTTAGTATAGTGCCAGGTCAAAACTCACAGGTTGTAATAGATCAATGACATAATGTTGACAGTATGTGTTTAAAATAATTGCAAACAAACCTGTTCTGTCTTTAGATGTATGACAGGCGATCATCATCCTCATCTGTCTACCAGTCAGAAATCACAGTTGGGTTGGATGTTGGATGTTTGAGTCGAGCTTCCTCATATGCATCTATAATGAAACATCACATTGTTGTTAACCTCCCGTAAAGAAAAGTTCAAATCCTAAAATACTATCAAAGTTAATTAATGCATATAATACCTATAGTGTAAATAATCAGTACACAGAAGGTTGCACAAGATTTATTTGGAGATTCATGCAGAGTGACAGCCTTATGAATCTGAGACATAGATTTGTAAGATGGTCAAGCACATGCATTATTCTGTACCCATGAAGATTAACCTACCATTGTGAAAAATGTTTGATGATGATAGCCAATAACAATAGACTATTTCAGCTGTTTGTGAAGCAATTAGTAATGTAACTCTGAAAAGCTCAATCTATGTTGAAAATATATCAGCAGTTTACAGCTTATAATGGACTTTTAGCACACAACTATAACATGCCTATTCACGTTCAAAAGAGCGTGCCATTGACTTCTTTGGTCGTGATGTGCTGCAAAATGATCTCACTAACCTTTGTTAAACAAGAACAATAAGACTTAACCAACAAATATTGTTACCCATTCATTTAAATCAGAATTTATCACTGTCAATAACATAAAAAAAAACATCAAAATCTGCTTTAAGACGTTCAGTTTTACATTAACTGACCATTACAGCTTGAACAAAAGATATAATTGATTCACATAGGCTAACACATATGAATTAAAGTGCAGAGTAATATATTTCTCTTGGATAATTTAAAGAGAATAGTAAACAGTCGAGTTTCAATCATTTTTCGTGACTAACTGCATAAACAAGATAAACAATAATATTTTATAAATTAATTCGTTTTTAATTACACATAATCACAGAATTAATACTGTTGGATAAGTATACGCCTGTACAATGATTTTTTCAACATCCACGGTACTTTATAATGTTAAATCAGGAAAAAAACACGTTTTGCCATGTTAGCGTTAATGGATTCGTCTACAGAAACTTTCTTTAACGCAAAGTTAGCATACACACAAATTCGTTTCATGTTTCTTTAAAATAATTAAAATAGTTTTCAGTTACTACACACGTTACAATCTAACATTGTGTAAAAGGAAAAGGAACTTTCAGACGTGTTTGTAACTGTTAGCGTTAGCATACATTAGCTCCAGTCGTGTTTCTTAAAGCAAGTTACATTTCGTATCAAACTGTTTTAAATTACTAAACGCTGTTACAACCAAACACCGTGGAAATGTTTTAAGCTCTAAATTCGCTAATTATACAGTACACAAGCAGTAAAAAGCTTACCTTTCTGACCGGAATCCACATGGAATCTTTGAAAAATCAAACTTTTTCTTCTTGTGATCTTCGTGCCATGGTGGTTGACAACCAGCTTGTTGGAGCATTACCGCCACCGTCTGGATTGGAGTTTGGATCAGGAGTTACGCATGTGTTTATTATGAAACCAACTTCTGCTTTAAAAAAAAAACAGTCAGCACAGGAGCGTGCTATCTCAAAAATAAGCGAATTTTACATAGTTTTTCTCTGGATGACATGTATAATCTATTTATAAATAATATTGTTTTGTTTGCGTCTAAACATTGAGACCATCCACACTAAATATTCTTTTTTTTTTTTTTGCTATCGTACCATGAATATTTTCTCAAATTATCATTAAACGTGGAGCTAACAGATTACTAGATAAAATAAGAACTTAATCGGTTGCCTTCAGCCGAGTCCTTGCCAGAAGCGGCCAGGACTCTACAGACAGACTCGGACCGGATATGGTTGACCGGAATCGGGCCAGTGCTTTACAGCCGCATCACAGCCGCATGTGCGCGAGCGAGGTGCGGGCCGCACTCGGCCCGGATAACACTCGCCGATGCCGAGTCGGAGCCGGAGGGGCCGGAGGGCAGCCGAGCTCGGGCCGATTACTGCCTGCTATCTGGGATATGTTTTGTCATAAAAACAAGCTGCATTTCAGTGATCGAAGAATAGTTTTCGTCAAAGGTGCGTCAAAATTGCGCAGAATAGCGAAATAAATTAAGTAGAAGTCTTCATTTTACTGCATGCGTGTCATATTTGTATTATCTGTTTTGATTGATCATATTTGTAATATATCTGCGTCTTGATAGATCATACTGTCATTGAGACATGGACAAAGAGAAAACGGTAAGTTCTATAATCAAATCACTATAGCCTACTGTTTAGTGCATGTTTTGTATTGATTTACACCAAGTGGAAGATTAATAAATTGTAATGCTAATATAAGAATTAACTGAGTTTACCCACAAATGAAACTTAAATCACCTTTTACTCATCTAACGTTACTTCTTCCAAACCGGCTTGAGCTTTTACATCTGTTGAACACAAAAGGAGATATTTTGAAACATGTTGAAAAGTAGTCATTGACTTCCATAATATTTGTTGTTCCTACTTTGGATGTTACTGGTTTTCTATATTTTTCAGTACAGTATATCTTTGTTTGTGTTATTTCAACAGAAAAAACAGGTTTAAAACCACTTGATGGAGAGTAAATAGTGAGAATGTTTTGTCGAGCAGAAATAAATCCCTTTATGACAGACACTTTATTAATACTGTATCTTATTTTCTAGTCAATGCTGGCATTATGTGTTGAAGCTGGGAAGATGAATGTGAAACATGTTCCACGCCCTGAAGCCAAAGATGGACAGCTTCTCATCAAAGTCGCTGCGACCGCTTTAAACAGAGCCGATCTGCTTCAGGTGAAACACAAATCATCAAAATCTTAAAACTTCGCACAATTCAAACCTCAGTAGCTTTGCTTGCATTCAAATATGTGAATTAAACTTATGCACAAACCTGGAATATTGCATGACACATTTGCAAAAAAGCAGTGTTTCCATTCAGTGAGTCAAAGAGAATAAAATTGTCAATTACTGATAATCTGGTGTCAAATATCAGAAGAAATGTAGTAGGAAAAGCCACTGTAGGGCTTTTTTCTTATTTAATAAATGACTAGCAACTTAGAAGATTAAAAACAATGAATGTGCAGTGGCTTTGGAAGTGTGAGACATTCTTTGGGAGCACAGATGCTTAAGACAGCTTTCTAGTCACTTAATTGGAAATGACATTCTTGACAAATTTCAATCTGGTTTTAGGACACGGCATAGCACTGAGACAGCTCTCCTAAAAGTGTCTAATGATATTTTTCTGACGGTTGATTCTGGAAAATGCGCACTTCTAATTTTACTAGACCTGACTGCGGCATTTGACACAATACATCATAATATCTTGATTGAGCGTTTAAGATTGTGGGCTGGGATTCAAGGAAATGTTTTAAATTGGTTTAGTTCTTATCTTTCAGGGAGGACCTTTTCTATTGAATTGGGTAACTTTTCTTCCTCATCTGCACGTTTGGAGTGTGGTGTCCCCCAAGGTTCAATTTTGGGCCCAGCTCTTTTCTCTATCTACATGCTTCCCTTGGCGGCAATTTGTAAGAAGCATAATGTAAGCTACCACCTCTATGCTGATGATACTCAGCTTTACTTGCCTATAAAAATGGGAGAAAATTCTGTTTTACAGTCCTTTTTCACCTGTTTTAACGAGATTAAGGAATGGCTGGCTGGTAATTTCTTACACTTGAATGAATCAAAAACTGAAGTAGTAGTGTTTGGTCCTCCGAGTGTCTGTGAATCTACAATTAAAAAATTAGGTTCGATCAAGCCTAAGGTCCACAGTCACGTAAAAAATCTTGGAGTTACTTTTGACACTGAGTTAAAGTTTGACAAGCAAATAAACTCAGTCGTCAAAAGTGGTTTCTATCAATTAAGGAACATTGCCAAATTGAAGCCTTTTCTTTCTTTTAAAGAGCTGGAAACTGTCATTAATGTTTTTATTATGTCAAGACTGGACTACTGTAACTCTTTGTATTCTGGAGTTTCACAGGCATCAATAGCACGCCTGCAGCTGGTTCAAAATGCAGCTGCTAGGCTTTTAACTGGGACAAAAAAATTCTCTAGTATCTCACCAGTTTTATTGTCTCTTCACTGGCTCCCAGTCCAATTTAGAATTCAATATAAGTTATTGCTTCTAGTTTTTAAAAGTTTGAATGGTCTGGCGCCGACTTACATTTCTGAGCTTCTTCACTGGCACACTTCATTGAGGCCAATCAGGTCTGAAAACACATTTCAGCTTGTTGTCCCCAAAACGCGGTTGAAATCAAGAGGTGACAGGGCTTTTTCTGCTGCAGCCCCCTGACTGTGGAATGGTCTGCCTTTACAGATCCGGTCATGTTCTTCACTTGGTGCTTTTAAGTCTCATCTAAAAAATCACCTTCTGTCTCTTGCCTTTGATTGTAATTAATTTTAATCTGTTTTATATATTTTGCAATTTTTATATATAGGTATAGATTTTGTATGCTGGTCGTTTTGTAAAGCAATTTGGTCAACATCTGTTGTTTTTAAATGTGCTCTATAAATAAAGCAAACAAGACACCTCTGGAAGTAATCACAATATGCATGTCATGATTTTACCAACTACGATGCGATCCTGGATTGAATCTATGCTGATCCTGGAACATCATTTTTGTTGGAAAATGTAATCCATAACCATTCCCTACCACTAAACCCAACTGTAACTGTAAATCATTCCCAAAATCAGAGGGGAATAATAGTTGGATAACACTCACGTACAAGTACATAAACCTAAGTAACCATAAGCCTAAACTAATCATCAATCAGCCTAAACATATCCCTTAATTCTGATTGGCGGATTAGAATGTTGTTCCAGGATCAACATGGATGTTAATCCAGGAACATGTCGTGCTAACTGAAATCAGGTTGACGATAATCATAGATATATACACTAGATATCGCATACGGACCCTGAGCATACGTCAATAGCGCCGCCATATTTGTACAGTGCTCTCAGGACAAAAGTCATTCAACCGCACTAGTCAAGACTAAAACCAATGTAAAGATGCCTGACTTTTAGCTCTGTGTATGGGTGTAGTAACAAACAAACTACATTTTTTTGTTCTGTTTAACTTTTATGTTTGTATTGTTTGGGTTTTTACCAAAATCTGGTTCAGTTATAGATTTTGGGTGTTTTAGTCTGAGGAATAATCACAGTTATCACAATTATTATGCATTCATTAATTTCAGAACACTGCTAGTTGAGAAAAATCACATAAAAACTCCTTATATTTTTAAAGTGTTGTTTATTGCTGCTCAGTAACCAAATAATATGACACAAAATAATAATAAAAAAACAAACAATCGTCCATTTCTCTTTGTCATTAAAAATAAGTGAAAATGTTTTGGCATTTAAACATAAGTAATAATTTTAGACTGAAAATAAATGCCAATAAATAAAATTTTAATAAATAAATTAAAAATAAATTAAAATGTATTAATTTTAAATATATAAAATTTAAATTATTATAATTAATAAATAAAATTTAAATAAATCAATATAAATTTTAAAAAATAAATAAATTAAATGTAAATAAATTTTAAATAAATAAAATATATAAATAAAAAATTCTTAATAAATGAATTTAAAATAATTTTTTAATGAATTAAAATAAATAAAATTAAAATAAATAAAATTAAAAATCAATAAATAAATAAGTAGTATTTGTCTAATGTGAATCTATGTTACATAATAGCTAAGTATTTCCCTTTTACAGTGAAGAAATGTATTCTAAGGCTGCTGAACCATTTGATCAACTATATAACAAAATTGTTTGGTATTTTTCATTTTGCTTTTTGTTTCTCAGTGTAGGGCGCTCGCGGCATTCTTTTTTTCACTAGTAGAGGCGTCTGGAAAGCACGAGTCCGTCGCTCCATAAATGCAAGCTACACGCCTCCATTTGGAAATAACGAACTTGCGCGTTCAAAAGACGCGATATGTGACTGGCCTTTAGTCAATAGCTTCAGCCATAGTTAATCCAGTGTGTATATCCATGGTGTACAGTACAAGCCCAGAACTTCAAACTAGCACTCAGTTGGCATCACTTTAAGTTGCAGCAGTTTTGTTCCATGCAGAAACACGGTGTTGAGAAGCCTTCACGATTAATTACCCGTGACAAATTAAAGCGCAGTTAATAGTGAAATCGATTAATCCGCTGTTGCCACTGCCTCGCATGGTTCAGGATTGGTAGAGCTACGCATCGATGAATTGGCTCTTCAGTGTTTGAACTCTCAGTAATGATTAAATCACACTGAACTGAGCTAAACTGAACTGAACTGAACTTAAACACTAAAACCTGAACCACACTGTTCCAGTTACTATGACCATTTATGTGAAGCTGCTTTGACACAATCTACATTGTAAAAGCGCTATACAAATAAAGCTGAATTGAATTGAATTAATCGTTGCCTCCCTATATTACCAGGATAAAAACATGACTTATTTCCCCGCTGTATAATTTCTCTATAAATTTATCTTTTGAGTATTTGACTGCATGTCACATCCATAACACTGGACTTGCTCTACTATCAATGGAAACAAAGCTATTGACGTATCATTGTCATTGGCAGAAACGGGGTCTTTACCCAGCTCCACCTGGAGAGAGTGAAATCCTGGGTCTGGAGGCCAGCGGGGTGATATCCGGTGTCGGCCCTTTGGTCAAAGGGAACTGGACGCTGGGAAGTAAAGTGATGGCTTTACTCGGAGGTGGAGGTTATGCAGAATATGTGGCTGTTCCAGAAGAGCTGGTCATGGAAGTCCCATCACACCTCAGTCTTTATGAAGCTGCAGCTCTTCCCGAGACCTGGTTGACGGCACACCAGCTTCTGCACTTCATAGGTGACACAAATGGATTTGAAAAAGCTGATGGAAATTGAAGTCGCAATCGTTTTATTTACTCCCTATCATGACAATAGTCATATCGCAGGATCTGCAATGTTGAGTTGAGTTGGGATTATATGGTTTAGGATTATATATATAGTTATATATTATTATACAGCCACATTTCAAAATGCACAAAACTTGTGGAGTTACTTGAAAGTTTAACCATAATGTAGTATTTAAGCACACAAGCCACAGACCGGAAGTCATTCATAATTCATGATGCCTTAAGCATCCAAATGTCTATCAAAGCCACTATATTTCCATAATCTGCTGTGTTTTATAGCCAAAGTGCAGCCGAATGAGACGGTGTTGATTCATGCTGGAGCGAGTGGAGTCGGCACTGCTGCTGTTCAGCTGGTCCGCTTGAGTCACGCCATACCTGTAGTAACAACTGGGAGCCCTGAAAAGATCAGATTTGCAGAGCAGATTGGAGCAGCTTTGGGAATCAATTACAAAGAGGAGGATTTCTCTGAAAAAGTTCTGCAGTTCACTAAAGGTCAATCATTTTAATGTTATAAATGTTTTTATTCAACATCAAATTTGTGTGCAGAGTTTCAGAATATCTGAGTGCATGATTGATGGAGATTTTGATGAGGATCTGATCAGCCTAAAATGAGTCAGCAGTTATTCTAGTCTTACTTCCTTACTTGCTACAAATACACATGTAGTGCCAGTTTTTGGTCTTTTTTTGGCTGCCCATGAACAACATCTACTTTGACACGTAAACATTATAGTTTAATTTGTTTCGTTGACATCTCTGTTTTCCACCTTGTGCAGTTGACCAATCACAACAAAGTTGTCCATCTGACCAATCAAAGCAGAGTAAAAAGATTTGACCAACCAGAGCAAAGTACAGACATTAGAACAATCATAATAAAGTGAAAACATTTAACCAATCAAATTAGAGTACATAACATTCTTAACCAATCAGAGCAGAGTAACCAATCTGAACAATCAGAGCACTCTAAAAACATCTGACCAATCAGAGCAGAGTAACCAATCTGACCAATCAGAGCACGGCATAAACATCTGGCTAATCTGACCAATCAGAGCAGAGTAAAAACATCTGATCAATTAGAGCAGAGTAAAAATATCTGACCAATTAGAGCAGAGTAAAAACAACTGACCAATTAAAGCAGAGTAAAAACAAATGACCAATTAGGACAGAGTAAAGTAATTTGTCCAATCAGAGCAGAGTAAAAACATTAGACCAATCACAGTGGAATAAAGCCATCTGACCAATCAAAACCAGTAGTTTATTTGACCTATCAGAACAGAGTAACCTGTCTGACCAATCAGAACAGAGTAAAAACATCAGGCCAATCACAGTGGAGTAATGCCATTTGACAAATCACAGTGGAGTAAAGCCATCTGACCAATCAGAGCAAAGTACAAATATCTGACCAATCACAATGGAGTAAAGCCATCTGACCAATCAGAACAAAGTACAAATATCTGACCAATCACAGTGGAGTAAAGCCATCTGACTAATCGGAACAGAGTAAAAACATCTGACCAATCAGAGCAGAGTAAATAACAACTGAATAACCAATAAGAGAATAACCAATCTGACCAGTCAGAGCGGAATAAAACATCTGACCAATCAGAACAGAGTAAATAACAACTGAATAACCAATAAGAGAATAATTAATCTGACCAGTCAGAGCGGAATAAAACATCTGACCAATCAGAGCAGAGTAAAAACATCTGACTTATCAGAGCAGAGTAAATAACAACTGAATAACCAATAAGAGAATAACCAATCTGACCAGTCAGAGCGGAATAAAACATCTGACCAATCAGAACAGAGTAAAAACATCTGACCAATCAGAGCAAAGTAAAAACATCTGACCAATCAGAGCAGAGTAAAAACATCTGACCAATCAGAACAGAGTAAAAACATCTGACCAATCAGAGCGAAGTAAAAAAAATCAATTAATCACAATGGAGTAAAGCCATCTGACCAATCAGAACAGAGTAAAGCCATTTCACTAATCAAACTGAGCAGAGTAAAACATCTGACCAATCAGAGCAGAGTAGGCCTTTAGAAAGGGAGGTTTTGGAGAACAGATCCTTGAACCAACCATTTCAGACACTGTGAGACAAAAAGCAGATTCTAGAGTTGATATTATGAGAAAACCCTGTTATAAAAGACTCAGAATTTAATTGAGCAACCTTTAAAGTCAACATAACACTGCCAAAAAATGCATGCTTTCTGCAGGCAAGGGAGCTGATGTAATTCTGGACTGCATTGGAGGAAATTATTGGGAGAAAAACATTAGTAGCCTTGCAGTCGATGGACGATGGGTGCTTTATGGCACAATGGGAGGTAAAACATCAGATGGAGACCTGCTTGGCAAACTTTTGAGGAAGAGAGGCCATCTTCTGTGCAGTCTCCTCAGATCAAGGAGTCTACAGGTATTCAAGTTTTCAAGTTTTATATACATATATTTATAAATATCCAAGTTTTCATCATAAACTTAAGTTACAGGAGTGAGATTAAAAGAACCCATTTCATCTGATATATGCAGATGACATACGGGACATACAATTTCATAGTTGAATTTTACATACAATTGAAGTCAGAATTATTAGCCCTCCTGAATTATTAGCACTGCTTTATTTTTTTGCCTCAATTTCTGTTACACGAGCAAAGACTTTTTCAACACATTTGTAAACATAATAGTTTTAATAGCTCATTTCTAATAACTGATTTATTTTATCTTTGTCATGATGACAGTAAATAATATTTGACTATATATTTTTCAAGATACTAGTATTCATCTTTAAGTGACATTTAAAGGCTTAACTAGGTTAATTAGGCAAGTCATTGTATAACGATGATTTGTTCTGTAGACAATTGAAAAACAAATATTGCATATGGTGGCTAATAATATTGACCTTAAAATGGTGTTTAAAAAATTAAAAACTGCTTTTATTCTAGCCGAAATAAAACAAATAAGACTTTCTCCAGAAGAAAAAATATTATAGGAAATACTGTGAAAAATTCCTTACTCTGTTAAACATAATTTGGGAAACATTTGAAAAATAAAATAAAAAAAATGTGCAGGAGGGCGAATAGTTTTGACTTCAACTGTATATAAAATATACTAAATATGCAACATATATTTATAAATGTTTGCAAAAATCTTTTTTAACCATTGAAATTACAAATGTGTACATATATGTTCAAATATATTAGCTGTAATGTTATATATGTGTTCGTAAATGGCCATATATGAACCTAAAAATATGTTTGAACACACATATTTGCAATTCCAATGGTTGAAAATAGAAAGATAAAAACTGTTTTGCAGCATTTGGAAATATATGTTGCATTTATGACACATTTTATATATGAAAAAATCCAAATATGAATCTATATAGCCTATGTTATACGGTGTGTCATTTGCATATAGATTCACCGCCCACTTTATTAGGTACACCTTACAAGTACCGGTTGGAGCTCCCTTTTACCTTCAGAACTGCCTTAATCCTTCATGGCATAGATTCAACAAGTCACTTGAAATATTCCTCAGAGATTTTGGTTCATATTGACATGATAGCATCACACAGTTGCTGCAGATTTGTCGGCTGCACATCCATGATGCGAATCCCCTGTTCCACCACATCCCAAAGGTGCTCTATTGGATTGAGTTCTGGCGACTGTGGAGGCCATTTGAGGACAGTGAACTCGTTTTCATGTTCAAGAAACTTTGAGTCACTGCTGCTTTCTATCAGCTGGAACCAGTCTTGCCATTTTCCTCTGACCTCTGGCATCAACAAGGCATTTGCACCCACAGAACTGCCGCTGACTGGATATTTCCTCTTTGTCGGACCATACTCTGTAAACCCTATAGATGGTTGTGCGTGATAATCCTAGGAGATCAGCAGTTTCTGAAATACTCAGACCAACCTTCTGCCACCAACAACCATGCCATGTTCAAAGTCACTTAAATCACATTTCTTCTCCATTCTGATGCTCAGTGTGAACTGCAGCAGATCGTCTTGACCATGTCTACATGCCTAAATGCATTGAGTTCCTGCCATGTGATTGGCTGATTAGAAATTTGCAATAACGAGCAGTTGGACAGGTGTACCTAATAAAGTGGCCAGTGAGTATTTCCATGTATCAGATTTCCGTATTTAAAACTAAAAATTCACATCCTTTTATTTTTAGGTAAATTTACATCCTGTAATGATTCTTTATGTTCTTGTGATGGGTTAAAGGTTATACTCATTGTGTTCTTGTTTGTAGTATAAAGCAGAGCTGGTCCAGAGTTTCACCCAGCAGGTTTTGCCACACTTCAAGTCAACAGATTTGTCCAATCAGAGCAGAGTAAAAACATTAGACCAATCACAGTGGAATAAAGCCATCTGACCAATCAAAAACAGTAAAGTTATTTGACCAATCAGAACAGAGTAACCTGTCTGACCAATCAGAACAGAGTAAAAACATAAGGCCAATCACAGTGGAGTAATGCTATTTGACAAATCACAGTGAAGTAAAGCCATCTGACCAATCAAAGCAGAGTACAAACATCTGACCAATCACAGTGGAGTAAAGCCATCTGACCAATCAGAGCAAAGTACAAATATCTGACCAATCACAATGGAGTAAAGCCATCTGACCAATCAGAACAAAGTACAAATATCTGACCAATCACAGTGGAGTAAAGCCATCTGACTAATCGGAACAGAGTAAAAACATCTGACCAATCAGAGCAGAGTAAATAACAACTGAATAACCAATAAGAGAATAACCAATCTGACCAGTCAGAGCAGAGTAAATAACAACTTAATAACCAATAAGAGAATGAGTTCCTGCCATGTGATTGGCTGATTAGAAATTTGCAATAACGAGCAGTTGGACAGGTGTACCTAATAAAGTGGCCAGTGAGTATTTCCATGTATCAGATTTCCGTATTTAAAACTAAAAATTCACATCCTTTTATTTTTAGTTAAATTTACGTCCTGTAATGATGCTTTATGTTCTTGTGATGGGTTAAAGGTTATACTCATTGTGTTCTTGTTTGTAGTATAAAGCAGAGCTGGTCCAGAGTTTCACCCAGCAGGTTTTGCCACACTTCAAGTCAACAGATTCCCCTTTGCGGCCTGTGATTGACAGCATGTTCAGCATGGAGGACGCTGAAGAGGCTCATCAACACATGGAGGCTAACAAAAATATTGGAAAAATCATTATCAAAATTGGAAAGCCTTGATCATGTTAATATCAAATACAAACTGCACCTGCTTTGGGAATAATATCTACGATTTACAGAGAAAAACAGTACAAACGTTTCATTTGTAAAATGACACAAGACTGATATGATAATCATTCTGAATAGAGGAAAGTTATTATCATGGCTACAGAAGAGATTTAAAATTTAACAAAGTCACAAGATTTAAAAAAAGAATATGTTGCTGGTTTAAATACTGTAACTAAAAAGTGGTAAATATTTCACAAAAAGGAGCGGCATGGTGGCTCAGTGGTTAGCACAGTCGCCTCACAGCAAGAAGGTCGCTGGTTTGAGTCCAGGCTGGGCCAGTTTGGATTTCTGTGTGGAGTTTGCATGTTATCCCCATGGTGGTGTGGGTTTCCTCTGGGTGCTTCAGTTTCCCCCACATTCCAAACACATGTGCTATTGGTGAATTGGGTAAGCTAAATTGGCCGTAGTGTACGAGTGTGTGTGAATGAGTGTGTATGGCTGTTTCCCAGTACTGAGTTGCAACTGAATGGGCATCCACTGCGTAAAACATATGCTGGATAAATTGGCGGTTCATTTTCCTGTGGTGACCCCTGATAAAGGAACTAATCCGAAGGAAATATAAATGAATAAATTTCACAAAAAATATTGGCAGTCTGATATTAATATCTTAAAGAAGATGAAAACTTACATCTTAGGATAAAAAAGCTCCTATATTTTCGCTTGTTTGTATGTTTGTATAACTGGAAAATTTTCTTTAGTTCAAGCGACTAAACAAAATTGTAATGACAAATAGAATAAAATCACATTCATTAATTACTTCATCAAATTATATTAAAACATTCATTTTCTTTTCGGCTTAGTCCCTTTATTAATCTGGGGTCGCCACAGGAGATAGAACCACCAACTTATCCAGCATTTAATATGGTTTTTGGCAAAAAATTACTATTTATTTACAAAAAATGCACATACAGAACAAAATACAATGAATTTTGGCTATTAAAAATACGCCCATGCAACATAACACTGATTTTGTGGTCCAGGGTCACATATTAATTCATTCATTCATTCATTTTCTTTTCAGCTTAGTTCCTTTATTAATCTGGGGTCACCACAGTGGAATGAACCGCCAACTTATCCATCACGTGTTTTACGCAGCGGATGCCCTGTCAGCTGCAACCCATCTCTAGGAAACATCCATACACACTCATAAACTGGACAATTTAGTCTACCCAATTCACCTGTACCACATGTCTTTGGACTGTGGGGGAAACCGGAGCACCTGGAGGAAACTCACGCCAACACGGGCAGAAGATGCAAACTCCACACTGAAATGACACCTGACTCAGCCGAGGCTCAAACCAGCAACCTTCATGCTGTGAGACGACAGCGCTACCTACTGCGCCACCGCATCGCCTATATTAAAACATAAAATAAAATAGAAAATCTACCCGTGAAGCAGTTTTCTAAGAGATTTTCCTCTGTCATCTTGTCATGATGTTTATTACTTTAAATGCATTCTAGTTTCTTGTTTTTAAATATAATTGAACCGTTTGGGAAAGTCTCTAAATAGTCTTACATTTTGGCTACAAATTAGGACTACTGATTAAGTATGTTTATATATATATTCAGTTGAAGTCAGAATTATTAGCCCCCCTGAATTATAAGACAGCTTATTTTCCCCCCAATTTCTGTTTAATGGAGAGCAGATTTTCTCAACACATTTCTAATCATAATAGTTTTAATAACTCCTTTCTAATAACTGATTTATTTTATCTTTGTCATGATGACAGTAAATAATATTTGACTAGATATTTTTCAAGACACTTCTATACAGCTTAAAGTGACATTTAAAGGCTTAACTAGGTTAATTAGGTTAACTTGGCAGGTTAGGGTAATTAGGTAATTTGTTGTATAATGATGGTTTATGCTGTAGACTATCAAAAAATATATAGCTTAAAGGGGCTAATAATTTTGTCCTTATAATGAGTTTAAAAAAATGATAAACTGCTTGTATTCTAGTCGAAATAAAATAAGACTTTCTTCAGATGAAAAAAATATTATCAGACATACTGTGAAAATTTCCTTTATCTGTTAAATATCATTTGGAAAATATTTTAAAAAAGGGAAAAAAAAATTCAAAGTGGGGCTAATATTTCTGACTTCAACTGTATATATATATATATATATATATATATATATATATATAGTCCTTTAAAATCATAGTTAAGCATAACGCAGTATTTTTATATTGCCCTTTTTTCACCCAAAACAAGCATAATACAGAAGGACAAAAAATCAACAAAAAAAGTACAATAGTACATAATTAAGATGATAATCACCACACATTAAGATTAATAACATTGGAGTAAGTTATTAATATATGTTGACAATTAGATACATTTTTTAATAAAGACAGTTTTAGATTATGGGGCTTTGTCATGTATTAGGATATGTGACCACTTAAGGGTGACATTTTAGGATTCTACAAATATAAAAGCGATGGCGCAGTAGGTAGTGCTGTCGCCTCACAGCAAGAAGGTTGCTGGTTCGAGCCTCGGCTGGGTCAGTTGGCATTACTATGTGGAGAGTTTGCATGTTCTCCGGTTTCCCACAGTCCAAAGACATGTGCTACAGGTGAAATGGGAAGCTAAATTGTCCGTAGTGTATGTGTCAGTGTGTGAATGAAGGTGTATGGGTGTTTCCCAGTGATGGGTTGCAGCTGAAGGGCATCCGGTGCATAAAACGTATGCTGGATAAGTTGGCGGTTCATTCCGCTGTGGCGACCCCAGATTAATAAAGCAACTAAGCCGAAAAGAAAATGAATGAATGAATGAAATATAAAAGCATTTGAAAAATACCTTTATTAAACTTTGAACATTTTTATGCAGTTGTTACGCATACAGTCATTAAATTTAGACAAAAAAATGGTGTTTAAGAAATATGCATTTGTAGGCTATCTAGATTCACACAAACGTCATGTTTTCTGACTAGGTGCGCCGCTGTTTACACACACTCACACACACACACAGACAGTTTCACTATCTGCCCGCGCAACTCTCTGTCATTGACTTTTTGTACTTGACGTAACACAGAAACTTTATTTCCTACTTCCTGGTCTTAAACTCTGCTCTTGATTAATGGATCCGCGTGCTTAAAAAACGCTGCAAATATAGTCAAACATGAAAACACGCGCAGCTTTATCAAACATCCGCCTCAGCTTCACTTCTTGATCGGTAAGTGATCGATTTGATTGATCGGTAGTTGATGTTCTCGGTCAGGTAATGATCTCTTTACAGGCCTGAGCTCAAATCAGCGTCTGAAAATGAAAATATACCTGACAGAAGTATATAGCGACCTGCTAGTAATGCTAGTCCAGTGAATATATTCCTCCGCGTGAGATAACGCTGAAGAATTCCACAGCTTTAACCTTTTAAACAATATTAACGTGGTAAAAGTGCTTGCATTTTGACAATGTATTGACGTCCTGTTCAGAGTTAAGTCAAATACGAAGTGTTTTTCAAGAAACTAAACCAAAGTAACATAAATATCTACCCGAATAGTCAGGCATAATCAGAACTGTATTTAATGACACATGAAAATGATAATAACTTAACATAAATGTAACTAAATCACCCTACAGTCTCAAATTGATCATCAATTGTCCATTTAAATCTTTATACTTCGTCCACTATTCTTCAAACCATCATGTTTTACTCGTTTGTCAGCACGAATAATTGAAATATTTACAAATTTAGTTTGCTCGCTTTGTATGTCCTGATAATTCAGATGAGAGCATGGCTGGATGATGCTTCATTGTACAAAAATATTGCTGGAACAGTCAATTTAATGTTATTTTAACATTGTTTTGACATTTTATTATTGCAAAAAAAAATTATTTGGAACATTAAAGTTGGCACTTCATTTGCAGTGTATTTATAAAATAGTTTAAGCCATGATGAGTTTTTTTTAAGTAATACATTATCTTAAGTAGCTTAAACACTTAACAGAAACAACTAAATATGTTACTTTAGTACGACTTTAACTTTAAAAAAAAATAATAATAATTTACAAGTATACACACACCGGCCACTTTATTAGGTACATTTTACTAGTACCGGGTTATACCTCCTCTTGCCTCAGAACTGCCTTAATCCTTCGTGGCATAGATTCAACTAGGTACTGGAAATATTCCTCAGAGATTTTGCTCCATATTGACATGATAGCATCACGCAGTTGCTGCAGATTTGTCGGCTGCACATCCATAATGTGAATCTCCTGTTCCACCACATCCCAAAGGTGCTCAATTGGATTGAGATCTGCTGACTGTGGAGGCCATTTGAGTACAGTGAACTCATTATCATGTTCATGTCAGCAACAATACTTGGGTAGGCTGTGGCATTGACAGGATGCTCGATTGGTACTAATGGGCCTAAAGTGTGCCATGAAAATACACCACAACCTCCAGCCTGAACCGTTGATTCAAGGCAGGATGGATCCATCTTTTCATGTTGTTGATGCCAAATTCTGACCCTACCACTGAAATGACGCAGCAGAAATCGAGACTCGTCAGACCAGGCAATGTTTTTCCAATCTTCTATTGTCCAATTTTGGTGAGCCTGTGTGAATTGTAGCCTCAGTTTCCTGTTCTTAGCTGACAGGAGTGGCACCGGTGTGGTCTTCTGCTGCTGTAGCCCATCTGCCTCAAGGTTGGACGTGTTGTGCACTCACTGAAACACTCATTGGAAAAACCATGGAGAGTTACGAGACTTAAAAATCATTGTAAGCAATGTAAATAAAGTAACCGTATATGGTTGTTCACCTAAACAAATGACATACAAAGTGTGCTTGTTGAACTTTTCTGTAATATGAATGACATTTGTATGATCTTTTCTTATTTAATTATATTCAGAGATGTTTACAATGTCAGTAATATCGTATTTGTCAGTCTTTTGGGTGTAATTCTTTTTTTAATCTATGAAATAGCCATTAAGTTGCTGATGTGGCTATAAATAAAAACAAACCTGAACTCAGTAAGTTTGGGGTAAAATAATCTAAAAATGTAGATTGTAATTTGTTATTCAGATTTCTCATTTAATTTGTTTTCTTCAGTGATTTTGCAGAATTGAACCATGACAGAAACGAGTCGACCTCAGCGCAAGCTGTCCAGAGCTGGAGAGAGTTTATACCAGACGTTAGGCCTGCAGAAAGGAGCGTCGTCTGAAGATATTAAGAAAGCATACAGGTACATTATCCAAATATGTACACTTCTTTTTAATTTAACGATCAAAATGCATTGTGTTTTGGGGTTTGTGTCAGATTAACCCCTTTTAGGGCACTAATTGAAATGCTTATTAGAAAAAACATGAAGAGTTTCAGTAGTTTATTACAAGACCTTTGAACTTTTATGACTTTATAAATATTATGTTGTAATCAGTGTCAGTGAAGTTACTATATGTCTGGTTGTTTGCCAAATAAAGAATTAAAGTTTAGTTTAATTGAATAAATTCATTTAAAGATATAAAAAAGTACATTTAATGCTAGAAAAGTGAAATATTAAGGAAATATGGTAAAATAATGTCATTCAGCAACACAGTTTTTCTGACCTGTACTTTTATTGATATATATATATAATATTACATTGTATTGTATTGTACCAAATTGGTAGTATTTGCAATGTATAAAATATTTTATTAGAATAAATTAATGTTAATAAAATATATAATTTTGTAAATGCACTGTAATCAGTGTTTAACATGTCATCAAACTATGATTCTTACTCAAAAAATGCCAGACAAGATTTTTTTTGCATGTTTGCTGTGTAAACATGTAATAATCACTTTGTTTTTACACTGAATGACATTTTAGTGGAGGACATCTGTATATATCATGTTAATAATGTACGGCAGTTTTTGTATTTGTATATATTCTAGATATTAAATTGTTTAGATGCCTTAAACCTTTTCAGATACTGATGTTTCCAAATGATCTATATTAAAAAGCATAATTGATAAAAACCTCCTGTCTGCTTTTGAAACCGTTCTAAAGACTTAAAAGGTGCCCTATAAAGAAAATCTAAATGTACCTCCTGATATAGTTAAATAAAAAAAAGTTCATCCATAGAAATGGCCATACCGTGAGCCTCAAACACCAGTATTCTCGTTCTCATGTAATAATAATAATAATTCCTTAAATTATATAGCACTTTTCTGGACGCTCAAAGCACTTTTTTTTGGGGGGAATCTCCTCATCCACCACCAGTGTGCAGCATCCACCTGGATGACGTCACGGCAGCCATTTTGCGCACCAGCTGATTGGTGGAAAGGAGACAGTGATGAAGACAATTATGATATGGGGGGATGGTTAGGAATTCAGAGTCCAGTGGGCAAATTTTGGCCAAGATGCCGGGGTTAAACCACTACTTTTTTTTTTTTTTGAAGGACATCCTGGGATTTTTAATGACCACAGAGAGTCAGGACCTCGGTCTTATCCAAAAGATGGCACTCATTGAGCAGTGTAGAGACCCATCAATATATTGGGGCATTAGGACCCACACAGACTGTAGGTTGAGCACCACTGCAGGTCTCATTAACACCACTTCCGGCAGCAACCTCGATTTTCCATGTGGTCTCCCATCCAGGTACTGACCAGGCACAGCCCTGCTTGGCTTCAGTGGGCGACCATGTGAGAGTTGCAGAAATTCCACAAGTGTAAACACCTGGTGAAAATTAGGCCAATCAGAACACAAAGCAGACTGTTGCGTGACTCACAGGCCACTCCCAAAATATTTACTTTAGGTGATGTTCTACGTCATCCGGACCAGACGAGCAGCCAAATCATCAGGAGATCAGCAGTCCAAACACAGACTGATATATTTCACACAGGATCTTTAATATGCATGGCCTAAGCTACATTTTAAGATTTATATAATGATATATATTTATTTATATATAATTTATATAAAATTATTTAAGATATATTTATGAGAATTATTAAAAAATATCCCTCATTTTAATGTTTATCAAAGTTTACATTTAAACTTAGCATGTATGTGGGACTCTTATTTTGAAAATAGGAGACGCTGCAAAGTCAAAGCCAGCCACACCGGTTAGTTTTATTTGTTATGAAGCAACAACTCTTTAGAGCTCTCCAGAATGCAAAATGCAGGATATACAGATTAAAAATTAATTCAGTGCCACCCTAAAAAGACTGCAGAGTATTTTCTTTATTGAACATTTAAGTATTGTGTCTTATCATTCAGCACTGAGAGCTGTGCTAAAGCAGAGCTCATTAATATGCATGACCTTTCCAAATATTGCCAATAAGGACTGTCTGATTGTGTAGGGGTATTTTATGAATTGATAAATAAGCATATGAAACCACTCCTTTCTGGAGAATATTTGAACTTACCCAATTCAACTTATTGAATCAATGCAGTATTTGGCACCTTTAATTTGCTAAATCTCCACCATCAGGAAACTTGCACTGAAGCATCACCCGGATAAAAACCCCAACAACCCGGAAGCAGCAGAGAAGTTTAAAGAGATCAACAATGCCAACAGCATCCTCAATGATGAGACTAAACGTCAGATCTATGATGAGTACGGCTCCATGGGCCTCTACATCGCAGATCAGTTCGGAGAGGACAGCGTGAAATATTACTTCCTCATGTCCAAGTGCTGGTTTAAGGTCAGTCGTGTGTATGTGTCCATGAATTAGTTTGTTCTGGTTGTTTTAAATGAGTTTTAATTCTTGCTAGGCTTGGGCGGTATCCAAATTTTGATACCGTCAAACCTCCCTATTTTATCCAGGTATTACCGTGCATAATAAAAAAACTATGACGTAAGGCTCAGACAGCATCACCAAACTGTTGGCTTGTGCCTGAACCATTCAGAAACTGAATACCGTATATGCCACCTTAGCTTCGCAGTCACCGGTTTGTCTTGTTTGTATTCTTCTGCGCGGGATGCTCGTTCTCTCTCTCACGCACACACACACACACACACACACACACACACACACACACACAGAGAATCAAGCGACAAACAGCACCACTTTCTCTCTCACACACACACACACACACACACACACACACACACACACACACACACACACACAGAGAATCAAGCGACAACAGCACCGCTCTCTCTCTCTCTCTCACACACACACACACACACACAGAGAGCATTGCTCGGGAGCGATATTGCTAGACCCTGCGCCCGCTCCCTTTCAATTACACCAGAGTTACCGACCGCTCCTGCTCTTTATTCGGAAATTTATTCCCTCACCGCAAGAAATCTGGTGGGTTTCTGCGGTACAGAAGCAGGAATGCAAACCTCTAGTTCATATTTACCACGACTCCCTTCTCGATCGGTCGAAACTGGAAGTACTGCAGGTCACTTAGTGCGCGACTCGCCACCTCTCCCTCTCTCTCTCTTTCTTCCTCTCTCTCTCTCTCTCTCCTCCACACTGTCCCGTAATGACAATCACGCATACGCATTTGTAGGCATTAAATAAAGGATATTTAATATTTAATACTTGTCTCCTATTTAAGTGCATTGTTTTTTATGATGGTATGACGGCCTAATTCTTGCCAAAGAGCATTTATTTATTAAAAATGCACCAACATTTTTGACTTTTCATATATTTTTTTAAAATCGTTAAGAAATACTTTAAAATGTCATTTAATTTTGTGATTCAAATCTGAATTTTCCATAGTTACAACAATGTAGAGACATTTTAGCATAGTGTTTATGTTGTAAACCACATTTAGTCTCGTTTTTATTCATCAACAGTTTTGCATTATAAATGTAGTTATAGTCATCGTCACATGACCAGCATTTTCACCACGACTCATTTTCATCACTTGATAAAGGTTCCTTGACGAAGATATTTTGTCATAGTTATCGTTGATGAAAGCAACACTAATAGTGTGTACATTTTCATTTTTGGGTGAACTATGCCTTTAATGCAGGGGTGCCCAAACTCGATCCTGAAAGGCCCTGCGGTAAAATGCAGTACTTCATAGACTTTCATTAGTATTCTTAGTCTGTGTTTAAAAAAAAAATCAAAGGCCATGATTAATTAAAATCTAATATGATTATTATTTTGATGGAAAAAACAAGAAGCGAAACACATTTTAAAACACACTAGGTTTACAAATAAATGTAAAATAAATTGGCATAAGAAGATGGTAAATTCAAACGTGTGCTGTTCACACAGAGCAGAAGTTACTGGCAATGTTAAAACTTCTCCTTCTGCATATTTTAAAGGGCCTGTTCACACATGATCTCTTCATGGCATTTACCAGTAATTACCTGGACAAGTTTGTATGTGTGAAAATGGCTAATGTTGAATATAAGAATTTCAGTTTGTAAAAAACCTAATAAAGCCCAAACCTAAGATACACTCGAAAAATGGCAACAGCTTTTTGTAAAAACTGCGTATTTTAATTGAACTGAAACAACACACAGTCTTGTTTTTTTTTTTTGAGGACAACTTAATTGTTGTATGTTCAATCCACTAACTTAACTAAGGCTGCACTCACACTAGGACCATGCTTAGGCGCATTTCCCGGTTCTTTTGAGAAGTGTGAGTGGGTCAGAGTGCGGTTCGGTTCGGTTGGGCTTTGGCGCGGTACACACAGTGTAAGTGTAAAGCGCGCCTGAGCACAAAACTGATGTGACGTCACTTTTAAGGGACTGTGTCATATGGATGTATTAATCATTTTTACTGTTGAATGAACGTCAACTGTCATAGTTTATTAAAGATGCAAACCCCTCACTGCACTACAGCTGCACCTTCAGCAAACCTCCGAATACCTGCAGCACGAGGACTTTTATGATTATTTACGAGCGTCAAAAGTGGTGGATCTGTTCAGCAAAATATTTGACTGCATATCAAATGACATAAAAAAATACAAAACAATATAACTAAAGCAATGTCCACTGTGCTGAGCGAGAGCGCTTCTCTTCCTGTTAAACTTAACAGGCGCATCCTCAATGACGTAAGCGTGCGCTGGCTTGGAAGGTAAAAAATGCATTGTGAGTACAGGCCGAGGGGGAGAGGGGAGGGGTCCAAATGTGTTTCGGCATGGTTCGAGGCAACTGTACCTAGTGTGAGTACGCCCTTAATTCTTTCATGTTGTCCCAACGCCATTATTTAGACTGTACGACAATTTTCAACATTGATAATGAAAGTAAATGTTTCAAGCACAAATTATGATTTCTGAAGGATCTTGTGCTTTGTGTGTCTTTGTGTTTGTGTGTTTGTGTTTGTGTGTGTGTGTGTGCGCGCCCCTAATTATTAGCCCCCATTTATTTTTTTTACCCAATTTCTGTTTAATGGAGAGCAGATTTTTTTTCTAAACATAATAGTTTTAATATCTTATATCTAATAACTGATTTATTTTATCTTTGTCATGATGACAGTAAATAATATTTGACTTGATATTTTTTAAGACACTTCTATACAGCTTAAAGTGACGTTTAAAGGCTTAACTAGGGTAATTAGGTTAACTAGGCAGGTTAGGGTAATTAGGCAAGTTATTGTATAAAGATGGTTTGTTCTGTAGACTAAAGAGAAAAAAAAATTGCTTAAAGGGGCTAATAATTTTGTCTTTAAAATGGTGTTTAAAAAAATTGAAACTGCTTATTCTTTCAGAAATAAAACAAATAAGACTTCCTCCAGAGGAAAAAATATTATCAGACATACTGTGAAAATTTCCTTGCTCTGTTAAACATCACTTGGAAAATATTTAAAAAAGAAAAAAAATCAAAGGGGGCAAATAATTCTGTCATCAACCATATATATAAAAATTCTATTTATGAAATTTTTAGATTTTTTTTATGTGTCTGCCATATAACAGCTAATATATAATGGCCATAAACATAAATGCTACTACAGAAAGATCATGGGACACTGAGGACTGACATTATGATGCTGTAAATTCTGACTTGCATCACAGGAATTAATTTCCCATTAACATGTATTTTAATAGAAAAGCGTTGCTTTTAAATAAAACACTAATTTATACTAATTTAATGTATAATAATGGTTTGTTCTGTAGAAAATCTAAAATAAATATTGCTTAAGGGGGCTAAAAATATTGACCTTAAAATGGTTTTTAAAAAAACGCTTTTATTCTTGCTGAAATAAAACAAATAAGACTTTCACCTGGGGTCCGCTCTTCGTACCTTGCTTTAATGATCTGAGATGATTTGGCAGATCCTGGATCTTTTAATCTTGATAACTGATCTCTGGCTAATTTAGTTCTTCAAACAAGTTCACGAATCAGAGTAAAATGTCTGAATGAACTGATCTGAGATCGCTGCGTGTGTTGTGAAGAACAGATCTATCGATCCTCGAAATCCTGATCAGCAATGCAACGATTGGCTGACGGCACAGCAGTGTAATGACATCATCTAATTAATATTCAATTATCCATGAATATTGAGCAAAATTGCATCAAATTAGCAGTAAACGGTTTGTTAAATATGACACGCAATAACCTTCCACGTTAGTTGTGAACTGCAGGCTTTACTCTTTCATGTGTCAAGAGTATTCATCATGTATTTCAATGCATATCAGTGTATTTAGTTCCACATTTAGAAAAGATTTTCTTTATTATAGTAGCCTAGGCCTGCTCAAGTTTTTTTAATCGGCGTAAGGAATAACTATAAATTAATTTTGCATCAAAAAAGCATTTCGATATCGTTAAACTTATCAATCACCAACATATTAGTGATCAAAACACGTGCATGACTTCATAAATGATCGTTTTTTTTTTTTTTAAAAAGTCAAATATTGTGCATGAACGCGTTTGGATCTAAAAAGTTTATATAAAAAAAAATTATCTTTGAACTACCAGTATATAAGTACAGTCTTTGTACTTATATTTCAGAGTGCAGATTGCAAAAGTTGTATTTATATATATATATATATATATATATATATATATATATATATATATATATATATTTTTTTTTTTTTTTTTTAAATTTATATATAGTTAAAAAATGTATTAGTATTTTCCCAAGTGTATATAACTACTGCAAGAAAATATCAGTATTTGGTACATACTTTCAGTATTATCTTTGCTTGAACTGACCCGATCTAATCCTGTTTATGTGAAATGAGCCTGCTCCCTAGCAGGTTTGAGCTACCAGAACTGTTGCTATGACAACAACTCTCAGATGAGTTTTGAAGTACGAAACAATCCTGGATTGTGTCAAATCGTCAATAATCAAACCCAGCTAACTGAGTAATCCACGTACGAAGAACAGACCCCAGAAAAAAAAATATAGGAAATACTGTGAAAAAAATCATGAATCTGTTTAACATCATTTGTAAAATATTTGAAAAAGAATAAAAAATTCACAGAAGGGCGAAGTAATTTAACCTTGTTTGTTGTGTGTGTGGTGTCAGACTCTTCTCTGTATAGGGACGATCTTAACGTGCTGCTGCTGCTGTTGCTGCTGCTGTTTCTGCTGTGGGAAATGTGGCGGTTCAGAGCCTCCAGATAATTTCCAGTATGTAGATCCAGAAGAGCTGGCGGAGGAGGAAGAGCGCAGCAGAGGTGTGTTTTCAGATCTACAAACAGCATATCTCTGATTCTACCTGTTGTTTAAGAAAATCACACTGTTTTTTGTGATTTACAGATAATGAAACGGTAATAATAGGACAGCCCATTCCCTCTCCGGCTCCAGCTGCAGATTCAGGTGAACATTGATTCTTTCCATCAGATGCACTTTTCAGACTTCAATTTTAGATTACAGAGGCAACATTTTTTTCTTAATGACATGCACAGATGAATTGTTCACCACAAAATCTAGCAATGTGAGTTAACAAAATCAACATGGTTAGTTTTAGTTTCATGTGTACTTTAAGTGTTCTTATGTGTTTGTTGGAGAACTATTTGTGTAATTAATGTCACCAGGATTTTTAAAAACTTTTGTTATCATATATTAATGTTAAACATTGTATCTAATTCATGTATTCATCTGTTTGGTTTATTTGTTTGTTTATTAATGAAATTTGTTGCCATAAAATTGCCATTGCTACTCTTTAACTGCCTGCTCTACCAAATGGTTGACATTATTTTGATTGTTTTGAGTAATGACTGTTAAAGTCATTTAAAGAATGATTGTTTTTAAAGGTTCACAAAACCCTTGAGTACTTTTTTTTTTTTTTAAAGATTTTAACAAATTTGTGTGTTAGCATCAATTAAGACAATGTTAGTACCCGTCAGCTTTAATTGTGGGAAAAACTGGATCATTTGGAGCTTTTGTCAGCTAATTTCAGCTTCTGGGTTTGAAATGATTTTTGGGGCGGATCAAAATCGGCGATGTAAAGATGACGTGTCGGTTTCTCATTATTATTCATAGCTGAGTTGTCTTATCCTATGAGAAGTGCTGGCTTCTTAATTATTCATGACTGTGCTTTCCGAAGGCAAGGCAGACCTGCCAGTGCCAAGCTGTGAGATCCTACCTTGATGACTGGGTGAAACCGCGTCCACGGACCCACGGCACACTGTATTTAGCTGTTCATGAAGGCTCGTATGTGTTTGTTTCGATGATCCACGAGGTTTGTTGCATGTTTTTCCCTGCAATGCTGTCAGGGCCAATACAGCAAAGCTGTGTGTGTGCAGCAAGCTTTTTTGTCGGGAGAGAAGTACGAGAATCGCAGAATGGCGGACGTTGTCTATTATCAGAAGTTCGTTCACGACACATCGCCGTGCTGCTGTGTTTGCCTCAATCCTCCAGATTACCAGCAGGGCTAATGGTTAAAATAGACAGGGCAAGAGAGCTGCTGCACTGAGTCTGCATTCAGACCTGGGGATTAAGGGAAAAGTCCTCATTCAGTGTTTATATGAACACGATTGTCTTTACAATTGTATAAATTGTATTTGTGTATATAAAATTACAAAAAACAAATGTAGCAGGGCATTAAATCACTGTTTATTTCTTTGCATTTTAACTTTGTAAATTATAAACTCATGCGTCTCCTCACAGTTTGTGTCTCATTTTGTGAGCCGACTGACAACAGTTGTGCGCTCCCCTCCTTCTCCCCTGCTGGTCACGCCCACTCCAGCCCTTTGCTCGCGGAGCTCCACGCCCACTATGATGCATCTTTTGAAAAAATTCTGAGGTAGACCTGAACCGAAAGTGGAGGGTGTCATGACCCTTTAAATAATGGTTTACACAAACAACATTGTTGGTTTACAAGAAAATCAAACAAACATAATCCTGTTGCACTACTACACTTGATTTTGGCTTTATTGTAAAAATAAATTAACAAATAAGAAAACTTGTTAAACGAGAATCTGAAATATCTTATGGCATACTTAAAAAAGCAAAGATGATTTAGTATTTAAAAATCTTTTAAATGAATTAGCCTTAACTTCATATTTTCAGATTTTTCATAGTGTATATATTAATTCCAGCACTTTTACCATAAACTGACATCTCAACCGTTTGGTAGAGGTTGATATTTGAAAAATTATGGGATGTGTTGGGAAAAAAAATGCATTAAGTGTTTAAGTGTGACATTAGGAGTTAAAAAATACAGTTCAAACATTTTATTTTTTTGTCTTAGTGGGGCAGTTAAAGTGTTAAATAAAAATATATTATATGATATGTACTATCATACATTTATTTAACTTTCATTTATTCATTCATTTATTTTATCTCGGCTCGTCCCTTTTTTTTAATTCGGAGTCGCCACAGCGGAATGAACCGCCAACTTATTCAGCACGTTTTTGTGCAGCCTTCCAGCCGCATCCCATCTCTGGGAAACATCCACACACACACACTCATACACTACAGACAATTTAGCCTACCCAATTAACATGTACCGCATGTCTTTGGACTGTGAGGGAAATCGAAGCACCCGGAGAGTTGGCGGTTCATTCCACTGTGGTGACCCCTTATAAATAAATAATGATAATTGATAGATAAATTCCACAGTGGAATGAACAGCAAACTATTCCAGCATATGTTTTACGCAGCGGATGCCCTTCCAGCTGCAACCCAGTACTGGAAAACACCCACACACTCTTGCATTAATACAGCCAAGTTAGTTTATTCAATTCACCTATAGCGTATGTCTTTGGACTGTGGGGGAAACCGGAGCACCCGGAGAAATGCCAACTGGCCTAGCCGGGATGAAGCAACAGTGCTAACCACTAAGCCACCGTGCCGCCGGACTTGTGGTCTATTTACACAAATCAAATTAAAATGTAATGCATTACATAACTGCATTCCCAGAAAGTGACAATAATGTTTTACAGTAACACATTATACCCAACTCTGGTCATAATGTAGATTATATTGACAACAACTAAAATGCAAGGGGTATTTTGGGTGGAAAAATAAAACATTAATACATATACATATCATTTATTAAAAGAATATTAATATTTAAAGGAGACCTATTATGCACTAGTCACTTTTAAACAGTTGCGTGGCAACAGTCTGTGAATATAACCAGCTTCTAATGGTAAATATGTATTAATTGAATTGTTTATAAATACACTTAATAAAAACAGTCTGCAGAAACACTTTGATTGACATTCTCCCTTTATAGAGTGGAGGAACTATGACGTCACTTTGTTGGCTAATCGGCTGCTAGCATAAAACTGGTTCCCTCGTGAAAATCCCTATGGGATTTTCCCATAGGCTTTTCGAAGATTTCAAATTATAAGCTCTGTGTTCAAACACAGTTCATTACACTTACACGTTTTGTCCAGCCGGACAATCCTCCCACGAAAATACAACTTGGAGCACTTTTGGATCTTAAATGCAAACGCAACAGTTAAAAAGCTAACATTAGGCTATAAATGGACTACAGAGCCCTCGGGGCGCTCGTCTGTGACGTCAGCCCCACTCTGCTACAGACGACTTATCAAGCTTATTTTTAGAAATAATGTCCATGACAGAGTTAATCTCTCTGTATATTATATTATAATCCACGCTATATATTATAAACAAATAAATACACAAAAAACATAGACCTATGTGCCTTTTGGATAGTTTTTACATGGGAAATACATCTGTTTTGTTTTGCGGTTGTTCTAAAAGTTTTAAAACTGCGTGTATAAATCTGCCTATATAGTATTTTCATTAGACATATTTAAGTGTATCGCTCGCGCACACAGCCTGCTTACCTTAACAGATGACAGTAATGAGGTGTGAGGAGGAACAAGTCCATCAAATGGCTGCAAGTTCCATCATGATGGACACAGAGCAACATTCAAGATTCCTCTTATGTCACGACGTACAGCGAAAAGCAGCTCATACTGTCACATCTGCTATACGTTTTATGGAGGAGTGTAAATATTGCAGTTATGACTGAGTAAAATGTGTTCAGATAAATAAAAAAAGACGAAAAATCACTTGATCACGTTAAAATGACAGTTAATATGTCTGCATTTTTACACATTTATTCATACGTTTGTATTACTGAGGGCAGGAGGGAGACAGGCTGCACTGGTGAGCAGTATCTTCATAATATAGTTTAATTAAAATAAATGATCAACAAATGAATCTGTCTCGACAGCCTTTACATGTGAAGGCATTATCTATACACAATCTGAATTCTTAATAAGAAAAACACAAAAAAACTATAAAATACTATTCATGAAAATACCTAAATAACAGACAAATCCAAACGCCCAACACAAGCGAGCTGCGCTCCTGACCAGATCAGCTCGATGACGTATAATGTCTCCGACACCGCCTGCAGTCCCATTTAGCAACTTGATAGCAACCGTCTTTTTAAAGAAGCATGGCCGAATTAAAAATTCAAAAGTGTGCTGTAACTGATGTGTTTTATGTCGTAGAACAAAACGTGAAAATATCTTGAATTTGTGTTTGCCACGGACCTTATTTAAGCGATTTTACTGAAACCCCATTCAAAAAACCCATTGACTTTGGGACGAGGGAACCGGAAGTGCTAAAATGCTAACTCGCTTCCGGGTTTTTGCATACAAATTGATGTCATAGTTCCTCCACTCTATACGTGTCATCAGAGGAGGAAAGCCCCGCCCTTTAGTGACCATCTCTCACTCATTAGCATAGGACGTCAGTCTTGTTTTTGAGTCTGCCACTATGCTAACATGTAGGCATTTGTAGCTCCGCCCTCATTTGAATTTAAAGCGACAGTCACCCAAACGGCACAATTAATGATCAACGCTTAAATGGGGCAGTTTCAAAGAATTATTTAATTTTATACGTAGGGTATTTTGAACTGAAATCTCACATACTCACTCTAGAGACATCAGAGACTTAGTTTACATACATTTAATTCAGTATTATTACTGAATATCAATTGCCTTTTAAACACCTGTTTCATGACAATCACTTTTTATTTATTTATTTATTTATACATGTTCATTTTGTTCTACATATTTTATTGCACTGTTGTAGTTTTTATTGGTCTTGATATGGATTGTATTTTTCTGTGTTGTTCCGCAGGTTATCCTGTGATTGTGGGAATGCCTATTCCTCTATCAGGTGAATATATCACCGTCACCATTGATATTTCATAATCTGAGGACCGATTTTTGCTGTGAATAGGCCTGTCACGATATTTATTTTTTTGTTGTACGATATATTGCATCAAAATATACTGCAATAAATGATATTATTGTCATTTTAAGACCATTTTTGCCACTCATTATGGTGGCTTGAAAAGCCGACCCAGAAAATTCCCATTGACTTAACATCGGGTCAAACTTTGTGAGCTCATAACTCTGCATCAGACTGTCACACAGACTTATAACTGGGCTCATTTAACTCAATCTAGCCAGCAGCCTATTACTGATGACCTTTAGACTTTCTAGCCACTCCCTAGCAACCACTTACAACACCCTAGCAACTGTTTTATAAACTATGACTAGCTGTTCTAACACATGCTAGTAGTTTTAACATGTTACTGACATGCTAATCTTGCTAGAAACATGCTAATGACATGCTAGTCATGCTAGCACATGCTAACAACATGCTAATTCATGCTATAACCATGCTAGTAAACTCTACAATGTATTTATTTGATTTTTACATATGTATATTTGTATTTGATTTATGCTTACCCCCTGGCATGTATATGTGTATATATATTTCTTTTTGTATTGTTAATATGTTACAATAAAAAAAATAAAAAAATAACCATGCTAGTAACATGCTAAGTCATGCTATAATCATGCTAACAACATGCTAATTTGTGCTATAATCGTGCTAGTAACATGTTAATTCATGCTATAAACATGCTAGTAAAATGCTAATTCATGCTAGAATCATGCTAACAATATGCTAATTCAGGCTAACAACATGCTAATATGTACTTATCTATGTAATGTAATGTGTATTTATATAGCGCATTTATTGTTTATGGCCATACACCCAAAGCGCTTCACAATCATGAGGGGGGGGTCTCTCCACACCACCACCAGCGTGCGGCATCCACTTGGATGATGCGACGGCTGCCACAGGACAACGGCGCCAGTGCGCTCACCACACACCAGCTATTGGTGGAGTGGAGGGACAGTGATAGAGCCAATTAGGTGGAGAGGGGATGATTAGGAGGCCATAATCGTAAGGGCCGATAGAGAGACTTTGGCCAGGACACCGGGGTTAAACCCCTGCTCTTTCACGAGAAGTGCCTTGGGATTTTTAATGACCACAGAGAGTCAGGACCTTGGTTTAACGTCTCATCCGAAAGACGGCGCCCACTGACAGTGTAGTGTCCCCTTCACTTTTACTGGGGCATTAGGACTCACACAGACCACAGGTTGAGCGCCCCCTGCTGGCCTCACTAACACCACTTCCAACAGCAACCTAGTGTTCCCTAGTGGTCTCCCATCCAGGTACTGACCAGGCTCAGCCCTGCTTAGCTTCAGTGAGTAACCGGTCTTGGGCTGCAGGGTGACATGGCTGTGGCATCTATGCCGACTTCATAAAAACCACTTCAACCTTTCAGACTCGGCTTTTCAAGCCACCTTAAAGTTTGTCCTCAAACTTTAATATCTAGTTACTGCATATAATGCTAGAATGTCAATATAATATCATCATAATGCAAGTGCCCTCTTCCAACACTCTTAATATCTTATTCTTAAGAATATTTAATTTAATTATAGCCAGTTTAACAACTGAAAAATCAGGCATTGGAAAAGTGCAAGGTAAAAAGTAACAGAAGCTGCGATATCTGCTACCAGATCTATTTTCAGCTGTCAGACACCCCCATGAAAATGTACTAAAGTAATTTATTGTAAATAATATAGCGTTTCTTTAACCATACCAACACAGAATAGAGATAGAGATGATGATAAATTTTGCTAGAATTGGTTTTTATGTATAGGCAATATTTATCGCATGACTAAATATGATTGAGGCCATGTCCATGTGTTGTGCGATAAGCTCTTGTATTGATTGCTGTGACCGGCCTAGCTTTAAAATATTCATATTTTGTGTGTTCGTCCAGCAGATGGAGACACTGCTAGCCTGATCCCTCCAGACACACACGTGGAGGTCATCAAGGAATAGAGCAACAAACACACACCATCCCGAAGACTGATTCGTTTGTATTACACACAGTGTCTTTGCAGTTTGTGTGGCTTGTTTTGTCTCCACACATCATGCTGTTTTTGTTTACATCATTTTATAATTGCCTTCTGTTTGCTTGAATGTGTCTTAATGTGTGTCTTAACGTAGAGCAACTTCATGTCCAAAGCTTCTTCACATGAGCTCCCGTGTACAGACCAACATATATATGAAATTAAATATCATCCAATATTGTGATCCAATAAATTTAGGATGTGCTGTTTTCATAACATCACCATTTTTATTGATCTTTGCATGTACTGTAAACATCAAACCATGCTTTTATTGGTCAGAAATTATTCATGCTCTTCATATGCTTTCATAATAATGATAATGAAGAACATGACTCTTCTGGAAATTTAATTTAATTCTCTTTTTGTACAGTATGACATTGAGGCTTTAGTACAATGCATTCATTTATTTTCCTTCGATTTAGTTCCTTTATTTATCGGGGGTCACCACAGCGGAAGAAAGACTATTCCAGGATGTTTTATGCAGCAGATGCTCCTCCAGCCGCAACTCAGTACTGGGAAACATCCATACACACTCATACACTATGGCCAATTTAGTTTATTCAATTCACCGATAGTGCAATTCTTTGGACTGTGGTGGTAACAGGAGCACTCAGAGGAAACCCACGCCAACACGGGGAGAACATGCAAACTCCGCACAGAAATGCCAACTGACCCAGCTGGGACTCGAACCAGCGACCTTCTTGCTGTGAGGCAATAGTGCTAACCACTGAGCCACTGTCGCCGCTCCAGCACAATAATAACATAAAATCTGGTAGTCTTTTGTTGTGTGTATGTGCATAAACATGATATATCAGTCACTGAATTGAAAAAACTTGATAATGAGAGACTTTTATGATGCATTATGACTTACTATGATGCTGTCTTTAAGCAGTTTTAAATCAAATGTATGTGATAAATTTCATGTTATATGATTGTTAGGGAAAGTTAAGGATATGTCTGTCCTGCTGAGTTTAAAGGACCCATGAAATTAAGATTTCTGGTGATTTTTATATAAATAATTTCACTTAAAATATATATTTTATTACTGTATTACACAGTACAAAGATTGCAACCTTAATCAACATTTACTTGAGAAGCAAAATGAGATCTGTTTAATTTATAAAAGATAACTATTAAAAATAAGCAAACTAATGCTTGACACTAGAAGAAATACTGGGTGTAAAGTCTATTTTCTGAACTCCAAATAAATATATTAGTTTCTTGTTTAGAGCATAAGTGTACATGTTATCAGTTTGTCATTTTGCTTTTCAGTTAGATATTTGTACTGTTAAACAAATATATGAAGAGTTTAGATGCACAAACCTCCTAATGCCATCTGAAATTTACATCGAAAATTAGCATTTTTCTAAGCCTTGGTCTTTTGTTTATGTTGAGTTATTTAACTTTAAAGACAATAAAAATGACTTATTCTTTCCCATAAAAGTGATATTAGTGAACCTACACACAGCAGCTTGATAAAATGCCCATTTTAGAAGACTATTTCAGACGGCATTTAGAGGTTTTTGCATCTGAACTCGTGAAAAGGTTTTGCTATGTTGTAATTTTCACTGTGGTGATAATATTGCACGGCCTCAGGGTTGGGTTTGTCAGAGAATCTTTATGTACGTTTTTGTTTAGAATTATAATTGGTTGGAAAGTGACTGCTGCTGCAATATTTATTTCTATATTAAGAACTAGAAATCCAATTAATAAAAAAAAAAACAGATTATACCGTGGTCTGTCTGGTTACTTCATTTTAAATGACTGCGCTGCCTTCAAACGCAATGGAAAGTAGTTTCGGTCAGTTTAATAAATGGTGGTTTGTATTAATGTGCTTCACATTAAAAGGAAGATTCACAGGCAAATCGCCGCTGTCCGTCATCGTGCCGCACAGGGACATTTAAAAGCACGAAAGGCTATTTTTGAGGTAATATTGAACTTGTATCTTGTAGTTAATTAAACTTGTACTGTAGAAGTACTGTAATACGGTGGTCCGTGTGATTACTCGATTCTGGTTGGCTGAAATGACTGCGCTTCAAACTGAAAAGTAATTTCGGTCAGTTTAAAAACTGGTGGGTTGTACGGAAGCACTGAACCGCACGGTGAGGGAAAAATGTATCTCGTTATAACGGCTTTTTAAAGTAAAATAATAAGACATAATGTTAATGTCATTACAACGAAATGAGTTTCTCCCCCTCATTGTGCGGTTCAGGGCTTCCGTATTGTATTAATGCGCTTCCTATTAATAAACGTACACAGACATATCACACCGCTGTCCGCCATCGCGCTGCGCAGGAAAAACATCCAGAAACAAAAACAATATTACCTAATATTTCCTTCAGCTTAGTGCATTACTTATCAGGGGTTGCCACAGCAGAATGAACCGTCAGCTATTCCAGCATATGTTTTACTCATCGGATACCCTTCCAGCCATAACCCAGTACTGGTAAACACCCATACACTCTTACATTATCTCTCTCTCTCTCTCTCTCTCTCTCTCACACTCTCACACACACTCTCTCTCTCTCTCTCACACACACACACAGGTCAGTTTAATTATATTCAAATCACCTATAGCGCATGTGTTTGGACTGTGGGGGAATCTAATTTATTTATTTATTTTTTCTAAATTTAAAGGTATTAATATATTATTAATAGACAACTTAAAACTATTGAAATGTTATTCAAGTATAATACAAATAATTATAATTCTTGTAAAATGCGCTATACAAATATACTTAAAACATTCAGTCATTTTCTTTTCGTCTTTCTCTTTATTAATCAGGGGTGACCACAGCGGAATGAACCGCCAGCTTATCCAGCATGTTTTTCGCAACGGATGCTCTTCCAGCTTAACCCATTACTGGCAAACACCCATACACACTCATTCACACCAACACATGTGGTGCACAGAGAACCATCTCGTCAATGGTGTTGAAACTGCATTAACATGGAGAGATAGAGAGAACAGCTGGCTCAACAGCCAAGGAGCAACTTCATTAACATCTAAAGGCAACATCAAAAACAGTTTAAAGGCTTGAGTTTAAGAATGTTCAGGGTTCATTCTGACTCGGTGAACCCAAGGTACTTAGAGCAAAAAAAAATATTTTCTTTGTTCTTTCTAATTATGTGCCTATTGCTTTTACTGTTTTTATGCCCATGTCGTTAGTTTATTTTTTCTCTGTAAAGCACTTTTTGCAGCCTTGTGGCAGTTGAAAACATGCTAGCTAGATTTGTCAAAGTTCCTTTAAGGCAGGGGTGTCCAAACTCTGTCCTGGAGGGCCGGTGTCCTGCATATTTTAGTTCCAGCCCCTATTAAACACATCTGAACCAGCTAATCAAGCTCTTTCTAGGTATACTAGACTTCCAGGCAGGTGTGTTGGAGCAAGTTGGAGTTTAACTATTCAAGACACTGCCCCTCCAGGACTGAGTTTGGACACCCCTGCTTTACCATATAAAAAAGAAACCCAAATGTGGTGCACTTTGTTCAGTTTGTTAGATTTCCTCTGATTTAGTTCTTAAGGAGTTAAAATATTTGATACTTTCATTTATTGATGTCTGACATCATCTTGAATATGTATATACCTGTCATATTTTCAATTAGGTTCTGCAAAGTCAACAGATATTCCCCAGAAATTTCTGCAAAGTGCATTTAATTATCAACTCTTCATAAACTTGAACACGATTTGTGATTAATGCAAAGATGTTGACATTTTTATTACAGATAAAAATATCATTGATTGTCTCCCGTCATCTTGATTTTAGGTGATACTTTAATTATGTTCTACAAATTTAGATCTGCAACATTTTACATGCAAAACTTTTGAAAGCAAACCACCAGTCTTAAAAAGTACAGTTCACCCAAAACTGAAAATTCTCTCATCATTTACTCACCCTACTCTGTCTTGTCATTTTTTCTGTTGAACACACAAGAAGATATTTTGAAAAATGCTGAAAACATTGACTTCCATAGAATTAGTTTTTCCTACTTTGGATGTCAACGGTTACAGGTTTCAACCATTTTTCAAAATATCTTCTTTTGTGTTCAACAAAAAAAAAAGACACCAAAAATGGTTTGAAATCACTTGAGGAAGACTAAATAGTAATTCCATTTTCATTTTTGGGTGACCACAGTTTCACATTCTCTTAAATGACATTATTGAAGTATATATCAATTCATCAGCACCAAATGACGCAGTAAAGAAAGAAGAAAAGGTCAAACCAAGTGCATACTCCTCATTTCAGAGTAATGTCTTTGATAGTTTTGGAGTCTGCTACATGTGCACTGTTCATTGAGCGGTTTCCTTGTGTCTCTCTCTCCAGTATTTGGCGTAGGCCTCCTGAAACATGTTCTTGCAGCAGATCTGGGCCTTCAGACGGGAGCAGATAAGGAAGGATCCTCCCATTTTGCGATGCAGAGAGTAGGTTTCCTCCGGCGGTGGAGTCAGACGCTCCTTCAGCATCACTGGAATCAGACGGTGGATCCGTTCAGTCGTACTCTGAGATCCAAAATCAAACGGCTCGTCTGATGAAAACGCTTCGCCGAGGATCATCACCGCATCCACGTGAGCATTCACCATCGACTAAAACCAAGAAAAAGAGTCAAAATATACAGATTATACTAAGAACTGTGCGGCATTAAGACCTGAGAATGTCATTTCTACAAATAAAACTATTAATTTCTAAAAACAATGCTTAACTGAATCAACAAAATATTTTACAAAATTAACAGCAACATTTTACAATAATCTAATTAAATTATGGAGATAAACAGTTAAAATTATTAGCCATCCTGTGATTTTTGTTTCTTTTTCAAATATTTCACAAATTATGTTTAGTAGAGCAAGGCATTTTTCACATTATTTCCAATAATATTTTTTCTTCTGTAGAAAGTCTTGATTTGTTTTATTTCAACTAGAATAAAAGCAGTTATTAATTAAGGTCAATATTATTAGCCCCCTTAAATGTGCAGTATGTAAGTTTGACACACAGTGGTTGAAGTAGTTTGTGCTTTCCTGGTTCAAAACGCACACAAGTGCAGGTTGCCAGATTGAGGACCAACAGGAGCGAGGCTGACTATCGAGACTAAGTGCTGATTTAAATCGTTTTCTAAATACAAGTAACGGCATGCTATAAAAGGAATATTTTCTATATTAAGATTTTTTCCGTAACCAACACCTGAAATTTATATCT